TTCTGATCAACCGGGGGGAGAGTCAAAAATGGCACCCCCCCCCCCCCATTTTAGACCGGTCTAGCCTTTCATTCTCCCACATGCATAGATTCAGGCAGAATGTCCTCAAACTACTGTGTTGGATAGGAAGTTCGCACATCCTAGATCGTGGGTCCTCAAACTACGCCCCGTGGGCCAGATGCGGCCCGCCACGCCTCAGAGGTTTTGGACTCACCTCGCCGCACATGCACCCACCCACTACCTTGCCTCGCCTGCCGTCTCCGCCACCTCTCAACTGGCCCCGTTGTAAAAGTTTGAGGACCCCTGTCCTAGATTATTGTTTATGCTCGATATGGCAATTTCCTCTGGTTCCTATTTCACGTGGCTTGGCAAAGAAGATAAACATCACACACCCGGCAAAGGTCCACTGAATAAGCATGGTCAGAGGCCAGGGAAAAAATGGATAACATGGGATTGGGCAGGGGTATGGAGAAAGAAGAGAGTGTTTGGAATCCTGGACAGAAGCACTCCATACCGATAACCGGGCAGAATTTACTTTTTTACTGAAGCAGAGGCCTGGATCCTTTAGGTAGAACTTCTGCAATAGGAAAGCACACTTCTCTTATAGGAACCCATTCATCCAACCAGCAAGATCCCATTCACCTATAAAATTCACCCACAAAAACCTAATGTTAAACCTAATGAATGTAAACCTTACATTCACACCCTGCATTTTTAGTTCTTGCAAGATACCCACAATGCCCTCCCTTCCTGGTCCTCCTCCTCTCTGTGTTGCCCTCATGGCAACCCAGTGAAATAGCCCTGGCTGAGAGTCAATGACTGACCCGAACTCACCCAGTGAGGTTCATGGATCTCCCAAGTCCTAGTCCAACACTCAAACTGCTACACCACACTGGCTTTCAGATGAGGGTGATTAATTTTGGGTGCGATTATATGTTGGCTGGAGCACACTGAGAGTTGTAGGAATTTTTTGGCTAACACCTTTAGAGGCTTGCCCTTAACATAGTAAGAAAGGCCAAAGGCCTCTTTGTTCCAGCATTGTTCATGGAACGGCCCACCTGCTGCCCCTGGGAAACCCCACAAACAGCCCTCCCCTGCTGCAGCTCCTTAGTAACTGGTATGAAAGGGCAGACACTGCCTCTGATCCTGGAGGGAACCATGAGGACTAGCAGCCACTGACAGATCTACAGGTTAGAGTGGCCAGCTGACTCAGAGTTACACAACTTGTGCATGTGCATTCATGAGGCACGTACTGCTGATGTGGGCACTGAGGTACATTTGGAAATATTTGGGAGACTATCAATTGGTTTAATCTGTATCCCACATTTCTGCCAAACAGTGGCTATCAAAACTGTGAACCATAAAATCTGGGCTGAAAACAAAAATTTAATTAAAAATCATGTAAAAACAAACACATTAAACGCACAATTGAGGACCTAGTAATAAAAAAAATTCAAGCACCAAATAATTAAAAACCACTTCAGCAGCAAACCAGCATACATGTCAAAGGCCTGTCGGCAGAAGAACTACTGGCCACCAGTGTGGGTCGGGGGCTGGACTGGGATCCAGGAGACCCGAGTTCTAGTCCTCACTGGGTGACTTTGAGTCAGTGGCTGCCTCTCAGGCTAACCTACCTTCCAGGGTGGTTCTTGTGAGGATAAAATGGAGAGAGAAGAAGTATAGATTCTGCTGTGAGTTCCTTGGAGAGATCCAGGATATAAATGAAACAAAAAGCAAACAAGCAAATGAAGAAACATACAAACGGAGAAGAGAGGGAGTTCCAGGGAGTGGCCCCTGAGAAGGCTGTCTCTCACAACTCTCACAACCCCACCAAATGCATCTCTGATGGTGGTGGGACGAGGGAAAGGGTCTCCCCTGAAGATCTTAAGATCCACACTGAAGCAGGAATGCCTCCAAAAACACTAAATCTGATCTGAATCTTCTGGAAATTCAGAGGGACACAGAAAGTCAGGCACAGTGCTTGTAAATGTCACCCTATCCCTCCCTACCCTTCCCTGCCAGCAATCCACGGGAGGGAAAGGGAGAGGTCTGGAAAGCAACTCCTCTGGGGAAGGGATGTAAGGGCTGGGTACATTTTTCCTGAAGAAGAGCTGCTTGACTGAGTGGGAATGAAGGTAATAATTTTCTGAATTGGAGCCTGGGCAAGGATTGGACTGGATAAGGGCCAATGAACCTAGACTCGATCCAGACAAGACGGAGATAGTTAGAGGGTGGTTCACCTGCCCAGGTGAGTGATATTCGACCTGGTCTGGAGGGCTCTGTACTCCCTGTATAAGATCAGCTATGTAGTTCTGGGGTGCTCCTGAACCCAGGAGTGTCATCAGAGGCACAGGTAGATTCGGTGACATGGAGCACCTTTCATCAGCTTGACTTGCCACGGCTATTAGGAAGGAGAGCCTTTTTCACTGTGGTACCCTGGCTGTAGAATAAACTTCCCAGAGAAGCTCGCCTGGCTGCTACATTGTACTCTTTCCAGGAACAGGTGAAGTCCTCCTTATTTTCCAAGGAATACTCCTAGGAACTTCAGTTTTGTTTATTTTGAACTTGGTATTGCACGATAAATCTTCACACCACTGCTGGGTTTATCTTATACAGTGGTACCTTGGCTCACGAACACCTCAGTTCACAACCAAATTGGGTCTCAAACAGAAATTTCATAAAAATTTTGCTGCAGGTTGCGAACTCTGCATCAGGTGACAATCACGAGTGCACCCACCTTCCCTGCACAGGTGCAATCGCGGTGGTCCTGGGGTGGGGGAGATGGCTGCATTCATGCTCGGGGGGAGATGGCCGTGATTGCACCCACATTCCCTGCCCAAGCGCGCCCGCCTCCCCCCACCGCCCCGCATGGTCGCTGGGGGGCGGGGAGATGGCCGAGATCTTTGTTGTTCTTTGTCACTTTCCTTCAAATTTTTGTGAGTAAAAAAAATAGTTGCAGAACGGATTAACCTTATTTACCTTGACCCTTATGGGGAAATTTGACTTGCCTCATGACCAATTAGGGTCACAACCAGAGTCCTGGAATGGATTGAGTTTGTGAGCCAAGGTACCACTGTACTGTAGTTTTGACTATTTAAATTCTATACCCTTTTAATGTTGTGAATGGCTTTAAAATCTTGTGAACTATCTAGGAAGCTTCAGCTATTGGGCAGCACAAAACCGTAATAAATAAGTACATGAAGGGAAGCCTTGTAGCGATCCTCAAATAACCAAAGGGCTGTCCTGGATGTCTAGGAAGCCCACAAACAGGAAGCTGCTGGTGGGAGGCCGCAAGTGGAACATCCTGCTGTCCTTCCCCAACAAAATGATGATCAAAGAAACACCACCTTCAAACATGGAAGTGCCATTGTTTTATCAGTCAGGCCATCTATATCCTGGCTTTTTAACTCCTGCAAGGAACCCAAGAAGACTGACACGGTCCTTCTCCTTTTCATCTTCACAACAATCCTGTAAGGTAGCTTAAACTGGGAGTCAGGGACTTGAACCCTAACCACTACAGCCAGTGTGGTGTCGTGGTTAAGAGGGTGGGGCTGGGACTCAGTCTGGGTTTTAGTCCCTGCTCAGCCATGAAGCCAACTGGGTGACTTTAGGCCAATCACAGACTCTCAGCCCAACCTACCTCACAAGGTTCTTGTTCTGGGGATAAGATTGAGAGCAGGAGGAGGAGCATGATGCAAACCGCTTTGAGTTCTTTAAAAAAAGAAAAAAGGAGGAGCAGAAATCTAATAAAATAACTAAACAAACAAACGAACCACTGTACCACAAAGAGGTAGCTTCCTTTTCCATGAACTTGTCTAATCCTTCAACCATCTAAACTTATGAGTGGTCACAATGTCTCCAGGCAGTATGTTCTGTAAGCTGATTATGTGTTCTTGAGTGCATTTTATAAAATATAAGATTTTATATAAAATATATACAGCACCCTCTGTTGCCCGGAATGAACAGGTGATGGAAGCAACAAATCCTTCCCGAATAGATGTATGGGGGGAGCAGCTAAACAGGAGCACTTCCACTAGGGAATGAGGACACGTTCCAGCATTTTCTTGCAGGTCCCACCTGTTTCCTCCAACAGTGAACTTGGGAGGATGAGCTTTTCTTCTTGCTGATACCACAGTGTAGAACATGGAATAATCAGCTCAAGTTGCAACATTTCAGATTCAGGCTAGACATCAAGAAAAGTTTCCTCACTGTCAGAGCAATACGAGAGTGGAACCACTTGCCCAGAGAGGTTGTGGGCTCTCCTACACTAGAGACATTCAGAAAGAAACTGGAGTAGGATGGTGTAAATTGGTGTCCTGCAAGAGCAGGAGGTTGGACCCAATGGCTTTCTGGTCCCTTTCAGCTCTACTTCTCTATGCTTCTATAAAAAGTGGAAAAAGCACAAATATCTCTAGAGAAAAAGCACAAATATCTCTAGAGTCTTCACAGCCACTGGGACAAAACACATGAGTGAAGCTGGCTAGTATCAAGACAGAAAGTGTGGCATCCCCAAACAGAGTGCATAGTTCCGCAGAAATATTTGTGGTTTTCCCTAGAGATATTTACATTTCCCCCTAGAGATATTCATGGTTCCCCGTAGAGCTATTTGCATTTTTCCTAGAGATATTCATTGTTTTCTCTAGATCTATTTGCAGTTTTTCCACTTTCCTGTGCCCCAACCCCTCAGAATGTGGAGGGCTGACGGTCCACCTTGGTTAAGTGAATCCACGGTAACTGAGAGAGCAGATACGGGGGTAATACTGTAAAGTAAAGGGGCAAAACACAACCACACAACTCACCCAGCACAGCACAATGAGAACAGAACATGTTCAGTGGCTGCAGAATTCTGAGTTTCTGTTTGGCAAGGAGAATGGAATGGAGGACTGCCCAAGACGACGTGGCTGGCATGCCGGACAAGAATGCTCCAAGCTGCAGCATTTGGTTGCCGTTCCGCCTTGGGCATAGCTAAAGATGTGTGTACATTGAGGGAAGAGTCTTACCCAGGGATGCGACATTCTCGTAGTTCTCTTGCATGACATCCCAGTAAAGGTCTCTCTGCTCGGCGTCCAGAAAAGCCCACTCTTCTTCGGTGAAATATACCGCCACTTCTTCAAAGGAGAACGGTGGGGCCTGAAAGGAAGAGGAAACAAAGGGCTTTCTCAATCACTCCCCCCCTTCGTTTTGGTTTTATTTTAAACGGCTAAACAGCACGGCTTCCCCCAATTCATCCTCTACCTGAACGGGCTCCGGTGCAACCATCTCTCTTCCCCCGGGAGGAGGGAACGTTCCAAAGAGAAACACACACATCATTTTGCCAAATCTGTCAGGGAGAGAAGGGTTTTGTCAGAAGGGGGTCACTTCTTTGGGTTTTGTTTTAATTGTTCTGTTTCACATACAAAAACAATTCCCTACTTTGACATATCTGTATTCTCCCCTTCACATACATGCTGGCAGAAATTTTTTAAAAATAAGTATCTCGTACAGAAGCCAGAGAAGAACTAAAAATAAAACTGAAAGCAACCATAATCCGATCAGGTTTGGGTTTGGTTATTTGAAGGATCACCACACATGCAGCCATACAAACCTGCATAAGTTTTTTTTTTAAATACAGAAGGAAAAAAGAAGGGCAGGGCAGGGCAAAGTTACCAAGGGACCTTGTACCAAAATTATATTTAATACCAGGTGCAGAAGATATCATGAGAAATTGGTAATAGTTATAAACCTGCCTAAGTCTTAAGATCAGCCTCTGAAACCCCGCTGACAGACTCACCTGCCTGCCAAGCACCACAGAATAGGTCCTTTTCAAGGATGGCCCCATATTTTTGAAATTCACTCCCAAAAGAATTGCTCCCAAAAAACAGATGGCCCCTGTCTTCACTAAGGTTTAAATGGCAGTTTAGAATGCATGTGTTTCAAAGTATGTGTCACCAGTTTGGCTTTACATTCTTCTTTTTTTAATAACTGGATTGCTTTATGGGTATGTTAAATTGAACTTTATGTTAATTATGTAAATGTTAATTATCTTTAGCCACCTTGGGAGAACTTTGTCCTGAAAGATTCTCATTCTCTCCCTCCCTCCCTCCCTCCCCCCTCTGTGTGTGTGTGTGTGTTTAAAACTGATTCCGTCCTCAGGTTGAGAAGTTTGACAGGTCTGCTTTAAAGTGTCACAAAACGCCACCATCTTCTTGCTATGATGGGCTAACACGGCGGCTCTCCTGGAAGTTGTCACACTCTGGACCATGCTTCAGACTGACCCGCTCTTAATCTCTTCTTACATGCCCCAGTCCTTCCACTCATTCCGAGCTGACCAAAATATGCCATACTGAAGGTTAAGATTGGTATTACCCTCCAAATTAGGATTCGTAAACCAAACTAACCTTCCTTTGGAGGTCAGCGCTAACCACGGCTTGTGTGACATGTTGCCCTCTAAGGGTTCAAGCAGCAGTGCTGAACCTGCAGGCCTAATTTAGCTTAGATGCAGCCCCAGTCTGGTCCTATGGGGCACCCCCTTGCCCTGGCCTCATCTCTTTTCTTCCAACTCACGATCTAGTGGTTTCATAGGATAGGCTTACTTTTTTTCACCACCCTGAAGGGTAGAGATGCTAAGGTTTATTTATCAGTGGTAACAACTTTAAGCTACAGTAAATCTGTATTTTTGACCTACCCTTTTTGCTTCTGCCCCCCTGCCCAACTGGAATGCAGACCCCAAGAGTCTCTCTAAAATCGAATGAATGAAAGAGGGTAGAAGAGAAGTACCCCTGGTTTGGACTATTGTCTGGATGGTGCCAAGCATTCTCAGCATCCCTGGACACATGCCTACTTGGATGATGTAGTATCAAAACTGGGTGATCATAGAAAAAGCAGCATTTCCCAAGATGACAATCGCTTAACAAATCTAGCCATGTTTCTGATAAGCTGCTTACATGTTTTGAATATTCTATTACATTGTCTTGAATATTATATTACAATATATAAAATATCTTTTTATTTGTGCCCTTCAGGAAAGAAATACTTTTCCCAAGCTATCTTGTTTTTATAAAAATTCAAATCAATTAAATAAAAGTCAATAATACAAGAGTATTCAACGCAGTCATATGCAAAACATCACCTCCCAACATTAAAATAATGAACATAGTAAAATTACATACAACAAAACAGAGATTTGCAGAGTAAGTTAAGAGAAGTTCTGCCAAAACATAAAGGCAGAGGTCTAATTTGCACATAACACTAATTTGCGGTTAATTTAATCCACGGTTCGTATGCCTTCCTAGTGCTTGTCTGGAAACATAATAGAGCAAACTGGGGCTTGTTTCTTAATACAGCCTCTTTTTTCCACTTGCACCTTATATCCAAAAGCTTTCACAGTACTACCATACTAACATGTAGAAAAGCTGATTTTTTTGGGGGGGGGGGGTTAACCACTTTTGCTTACCATATGGCAAAATAAATCATGAGCAACCCACAAGTCTGGATTCACATCAGAATGATAACCCAAACAACCCACCATTCAAAACCCAAGAACAAACCATGCATTCTCCTTCCAGATTGAGTTTCACAAGCCACGGTTTGTAAACATAGCTGCATTCACACATCACAACAGCCCAGGATTCAACAATCCCTACAATGAGTTAGCACTATGTATAAACCAGGCCTGATCACATTAGTTCCAAAGTGCGTTTGCCCAAGAATAAATGGGACTACTCATGTGTACAGCAAGACTTCTTTCCTCCGAAAGTTAGCCTTAAGCCTTTTTTAATTAAAAAGAAGTCTTAGGAAATAAAAGGCACTGCACTGAAGACCCCAGGAGACATTCTGAGAGTAGCACACATGGCCAAGAGAAAGCTTAAACTCAGTGACCTGCACTTCACAACTGAGAAGATCAGGCAGTGAACTGCAAACGTAGGGGTGTATACGGCACATAGAAAAGTCAGCTGTGATTCAGGCTCCTTCATGTCACTGATTAACAAGACAAGCCTTTGCATGTCTGCTGAGAAGTAAATCCCTTTCAGTTCAGTGAGATCTACTCCTAGGTAACTGCATAGAGAGTGCGAGCTGAGAGTGTCTACTCCTCTGGGTTGGGGAAGCGGGTGTGGAAATTAAGCAGCTGTTGCACAACGTGCGACTTTCTACAACTGGTAGTGCACACGTGCGGCTTTTTAAGTCAGGCACATGGGCACACCCAATGCCCTGCACACAATCTTAATCGAAGAGCTGAACCAGCCGGGCCCTGCCAGACCTCTCCGGAGGGCCCACGGCTTTCCTGCATATGATCTGCACATATTCACCTGCCAGAGACGAAAGGAGAAGTAGAGCTGGGTGTCATCAGCAGACCAAAGGAAATATCCAGGTGACCCTCACTCCGTGACCTCACCTGGATGTGGAATGGCAAAGGAGGCAGAACCAGCTTCTGAGGAAGCCCATGCTGGAGAATCCACAGGGCTGTGCAAAAGTCCCCAAGCACCACCTTCTGGAGGTGACCCCGCCCCCACTCCATGAAGGAATGAAAGCACTCCGGTGCAGCACCCACTGCTCCCAGCCCAGGAGAGACAGTTAGGATCGAGTGATTTTGCTGGGTAGGGGCACAGGGCTGAAATTAACAGAATGAAATTTAAGAGCACTAAATGCCAAGTTCTGCACCTCAGAAAAAGAATCCAGACGCACCGTTACAAGATGCGGGATACTTGGCGCAACAATGCTGTGAGGGGGAATCTTGGAATTGCTGCACATCACAAGCTGAATATGAGCCAACAGTGTGACGTGTCTGCAAAAGGAGCAAATGCTTTTTGTGCTGCATTAAAAGAAGTAGCGCTTTCCAATCATGTGAGGTATTATATTAGCTCTCCTCTTACTCAGGAGCGGTTAGGCCTCCTCTTGGGCACTGCATCCCAATCAGGCCGGCACAGTTTAAGGAAGATGCAGACAAACTGGAAACAAGCAACTAAGGTGTTCCAGGGACTGGAAACAAAGTCTATGAGGAGAGACTGGAAGAAATGAGCATGTTTAACTTTGAGAAGAAAAGACTGAGGGGAGATAGATAGGCCTCTTAAAGTACTAGAAAGGTTCTCACCCAGAGGGAGATAGGGACCTCTTCTCAATCATCCCAGAGTGCAGGACACGAAATAAAGTGGTCAGGTTACAGGAAGTCGGACTCCAGCTGGATATCAGGTAAAAACATCCCGACTGTTCAGGCAGTACAACAATGGAACCCCTGACCTGGGAGACCCTGGCCCCTCCCACATTCAAGATGCAGCTGGACAACCATCTGTTAGCAATGCTTTAATTTGGAGTCCCGCACTGAGCAGCGGGTGGACCCACTGGCCCCTATTCCGCGATTCTAAGATTCCAGAGATCCAGGAGTGACATCCCCGTCTCTCTCCCCACAGAGTGACTAAAGCCCTTTCCAGGCCAAATTCCACCCTGAACCCCAAATGACATGGATCCAGACATTCCGTTTCCTCCACGGTGCATTAAGGGAAGCTCAGTGGGGTTTGTTTTGCTACTGAGGTTGCTATGCCCACCTGCTGCCCCCCGGAGGCCCTGAGCTTCCCCTCCCAAACTGGTGCTCAGTGGTACAGTTAGATAATTTTAGACCCTGAACGTAGCCCACAACCCTATATGCACTGGCTGAGTTCAGACAACATGACAAACCCTGGTAGTTTTGTTTACCATTGTTGGTTGGCTGTGTTGAACACCAGTCACAGCACACGCCAGGGTAAGATTAGTTTTTAGAAACCTTACTAAGAAGCAATGGCGGGGTGGCCAAACCAAGGCTCGGGAACGGCGTACGATGAGTTTATTTTGCGGCTTGCTGCACCCACCTGCCACCCCGTCGCTGCTGCCTGCGGCCCCTGCTTGCCCCTTGCCGCCATCACCCACAGGCGCCCGACTGCAGCTCTCAAACACCTGTCATTCTCCATATGTGGCACTTCCACTGAGCAAGCCTGGTCGGCCCTGTTCTACGGTTTCTCTATACCACCATGACTTGTGTTGCCTGAACCCAGGATCATGGTTTCCGTGATCCTGGTATGCAATGGCCATGGATTCCCCTGGAAAAAGTGGGAAGTGCAGGGGAGCTACTGCAGTCACCCAGCCTGTCTGTGAAGACCAGTGAGGAAGAAACAGGCAATGAAAGCAGGGGGCAATGCACCCCGGGACTGAATTCCAGGTGTTGCAGCTGATGGGATATATGTCAACTGCAGGGGGGCTGAGCAAGGAGGATGGAAACCATGCTAAAAAAGAGGCCACTTGATGGCCTGTTGAGTAGATCATGGTAAAAAAAAAATGCAAACCATGGTAACTGCACAGGGTTGTTTGCCATGTCGTGTGAACCCAGCCACAATCTTGAAAGTAAACCCCCTTTAGTGCAGGGGCCCTGACTTCTAAGTAGACATTTAGAAGATTGCACTATCAGGGAGCAACCTTCTTGCCCCTAGACTGCATCAGAGGAGCTGCAAAATATCTCAGATTCCTAAACCCAAGATGAGAGGCAGTGCCTTGACCATGATGCTGGGGATCAGCACACTCACCTAGCAGCCAGCACAGAAAAAAGCACGCCAGCTGTTCTCTCAGGTTGGAATGCAAGCTGAGAGTGGGAAACCGGGCATTTTGGTGGTCAGGGAGGGGAAGAACTGGAGATGCCAAAACCAGGTTTTCTGGAGCCCCTACAGTGGGAGAAAGGGGAGGTGAAGATGGTCTGCATCCTGAATGGTCTTATGGAGAGAGGGGATGTTTAGAGGGCCCTGAGTGTTTGTGGAACACGCACCACAATTCATGCTGCTCTTCTCCCCTCCTTGCCATCATTCCATGCTTTGCAACCATGCCTACACTCCTGATAAGCTGGAGCCAAAAACTAACAAAGTCTTTACCAGCCAGATGTAAAAATAAAAAAATACGCTGAGCATGTGCACTTTTGCATTTAAAACTTAATCAAAGCACCATTATTATTAAATATACACTTGGTATTAATTATCTTTCTTTACCTCCCAATAACTAAACCACATTGTTATTACTACTGTAATATTAAAGTTATATCCTGTCTTTGTCCCTCTTGCTAAGAACAAAAGGCAGCCCTCAAGATTCTCCTCTCCATTTTATTCTCACAACAACAACCCTGTGAGGTAGGTTAGGCTGAGAGTGACTGGTCCAAAGTCTTCCAGTGAGCTTCATGGCTAATGGAGACTAGAACCCGGATCTCCCAAATCCCAGTCCATCACTCTTAACCACTCAACCTCTTAACACCACACTGGCTCTCTGTGACATACTTTTTCATGATTGCAAGAATAAAACAGGAGTTTTTGTTTCTGCTGCTCCGATGCTAAATGTATTTAGTTAGAAATAAACATTCTGCAGTTGAAAAGGGTAGTATTTTAAAATATTTAATATCACATTTAATACAGTTTCTTCTCGCTTACCCACCTTTGAGGCAAGTTAGGCAAGTGCATGAGGGCATTTTCAATGGCTGGTCCCACATCTCTAGAACACGTTATTGCAGGGTTTAGGAAGGCCTCCAAAAGTAAATTATTTACTCTGGCCTTCCCCAGTTATGCTTTACGATCCTGCTTTGCAGCTGGGACTGTTATTGATTTTTACTACTGTCTGGGAACAGAAAAATTCTGCAAAAATATTCTGCATCCCATATACCCATCTTATTTTGGAAAGGGATTTCCTTCTTCAGGTGTCACTTAACTTGCTCCAAATGTATCTTTTCAATGCTTCTGTCTTATTTTAAGACAAAGGAAACATCGGGAAGGCTCTTTATGACACACTAGGGAAAAATAAGAGACCCTGAGGAAGCAAAGTCCTTCCTGAAATGCCTTGGGCATAAGAAACATTTCTGAGACACCTGAGAATATGTTCTCTTCTGTTTTGGGTCACAAAAGTACTTCCCCCTCTTCCCATGTCCTTGTTACTGCCAGATATTTATTACTGGATTTTAGGTTTTTCTGATTGTGTGTTGTTTTATTATTATATCGGTCTGTTCTATTGTTATAAGCTGCACTAGAAAGGAGCTTCGAAATAGAATAGGAAATAAAGGGCATGTGGCAATGCGCCAGGTTACAAGAAACCACAGTAAACCCCCATTCACATCTTGACTTCAAAAGGAAGCATTTCCAGGTCCTAGGGCTCAACACCAGGTGGGGGCTCCAGAACGCCTCATTTTGAGAAGACCAAGGTTATTTGTTCATCTCTGCGCTTCCGTTCAATGCCCTTCTCCTTCTGTTTGTATGGGGGACGGCACACAAAACTTTTATTCCCGTCTGTTTTTTGCACGTCTTGAAAAACCTCCCTGAAATTTACATTTCACCGCGATTTCTTTCATCTCTCCTTGTCTGCAACTGCAACCGCTTCCCCTGTGCATCTTTTTAAAGTTCGGTTTTACTTTCAAGGCCTTCCCACGCACTCAACACTCTCACAAGATTTTCAAGCATCTTGTCTTTTTTGTCTGTCCCTCCCCGACTCTATTTCATCACATTAATCCTAATCTTTTTAATCAACCTGTCCTTTTCTACAAGGCAACGGGAGAAAAGCCGTCTCCTACGTCACCGGCAAAAAGAAAAACATCCAAGGCGGGCGAACTTAGCTTTTCATCATTCTGTCTCATTAACACTGATGATAATAATAACAACAGTAATAATAATAACTCTTACTAGCTCCCCAGCAAAAGATCTCAAATCGGTGGCTTTGCGTTACCTTTTGCAGGCTGGATCGCGCTCTCTTGCGGACTCATTAAAGTAAGGCTTGCGTTTGTGCATACGTGCGTGCGTGCGTGCGTGTGTGTGTGAGGGGGGGAGGGAGGGAGGGGGGAGAAAGAGAGACGGGGACACTTCCCAAAATGTTGCAGGAATCCTTCGCCTTTTTGCAGAGCGCGTGGAAGTGGGGGGTGCCTGGGTGGCTGGAGAGGGATAGGCGCACCTGAAAGCCCCCGATCCACTGCTGAGCCCCTCCGGATTTGCCCCCCCTCCCGGAGCCCCCCCAATCCCCACCTCTAGACCGGGTGCCAAAACAGTCTCCGAGAGTCCGAGATCTCCATCTCCATAGACGCCGCTGACCGGATCTTGCGGCATCTGCTCTAGGAAGCTCAGCCCCCCTCCGAGGTCGCTGCACAGAAGAAGAGAAGGCAAGGGAAGGGAAAGAGAGACGGAGCCGTCGCTGCCGAGGCGCCGCGGCGAGGCAGCAAACCGGAGCCATCTGGCGGCCGCAGAAACCTGGGACGAGCCCGGCCACAGCGCCTCCTGCGGGCGCGCCGCTTCGCTCCTGGCGAGCGGGACGCGCGTGTTCGTCTGGATGCCTGCATACGTCGCCCGTGTCGCGGCTGGGCTTCTCTCTTTCCGCCCAGAGAGCCAGTGGCGATGTGGTGACTGGAACGGACGTCCCCAGTCCTGTTGCACCCGCGGGCACGTCCGGGGGCTTTTGAGAGAGGCCGCCAAACGCCTTCCCTGGAGGATGTGGCTCGTCGCCCTGAGGCTCGTCGCAAGAGGGCTGAAGGGTGGAGAGCTATAGCAAGGCTGGCGGGAAATAGCAGAGCAACGGAGTAGAGGGGAGAGAAAGCGCAACGCTAGAGGCTGGGAGTCCGGGGAAACGCAGGGGGAAAAGAAACCCAGACTGTGTTGTGAAGAGACAGCGAGCGAAAGGGGGTGGGGTGGAGAGAAGTCGCGAGGTTAGAATGGGAGAGAAATCAGACTGCCCTAACATTTTCCAAGGCTTTTATTTAAAGTGTTTTTGGAAAAGGGGAGTAGCTGAAGACCTTGCTGCACAAACGCTCTTGGACGGGCTGCTGTGGAGACCCCTGGGTTTGGGTGTTGGACTCGGACTGGTGAGACCCCCGTTTTTAGTTCCCATTCAGCCAGGCACTGGGTTAATCACACACACGGCATGTGCTGGTGGTCCCTTTGAAATGCAAGCTATTTTTATTATTCTTATTTTTCCCCATGCTTGGACTCAAGGTTGAAGCGTAACATTGAAAAAGGCAAGCAATTAAAAATATTCACTGAGCTACACAAAAGTTAAAAACATCATTACATCAGTAAAATGAGAAAATTATTTAAAAATTCCCATTTAAAAATCACTAAAACAGTGTAAAAGGGTAGAGTTAGTCCAGTGCAGTCTGCAGGGCCAGACCATTCTCAAATTCCTGCTGGGACAAAGGGGGTTGGTTGCTGCCTTCGGAAACACAACATGGAGGGTGCCAAGCTAGCATCCCTGGGAGGCAAATTCTGGAGCCTTGGGGCAGCCCAGAGCTATGACCAAGTCTTATAACATCGGGAGAACCAACAGCATGGTTAACAAACCTCCTACAGCCCTAAAAACAGCCCACAGGTTCCACTCTTGCCAGGTTTGTGCATCTTGAGAAAGCACAGTCACAGCTTGAATATTTCAAAAATCTTCTCATGCACATTGCCAGGGGCCTGTTGTGGTTAGAATAAGTTGCAATGGGTTGCAGTGATTGAGCAAACTGGGTCACTGGCTCTCAGCCTAACTCATCTCATGGAAGGATAAGATGGGGACGAGGATTGTGTAAATCACTTTGGATTCCTTGTAGGAAAAATGGTGGAATATAAATATATCAGTAAATAAACAGATGTTTCATTATTCTGCCAAAAACATGGTGTTAATGATGATAAAATCAAGATTCGAACAAAACCTAAACAATCATGAAAACAAAGTAAACACACAATTATAAGCATGCCCATAAAAGAAATAAGCACACCCAGCCAATTTCTACATTTAAGAAGCCCTTCAGCATAACCCAAACTAATATGCCAAAGGTTTGCCTGAGTAATAGGGTATTTTAAACAATGTAACAGTGGTATTTGCCAACTGGCAGAAAGACAGCGGAGAGCAGGCCCACCCAAGTCCAACGTCTCTCAGCAGGGAGTTTTAAATCTTGGGAACAGCCACTGAGAAGAGGCTCTTAAAATGCCCCTGGCAGGAGTGAGAAAAGCATTCCCCAGATGCTCTTATTCTCCTGTGGTTTTCTAGCCCTTTTTATAAGATGATGGGTGGGGAGATGTCTCCTGCAAACTCTTGAGGTGCAATTAATTCATTGATTTTATAAAAATTATTTCTATTAGGCCTTTCTGAAATCTGCCAAGGTGGTGAGAAACCATTCCAAAAAACAAAATTGCTGGTATGACACATATAAAGTGGAACCCTGTGACTGCTAGACAGAGTGTAGAGGGCCTTAAGATATTTCGGAGCCCCAGCTCTGACCTTGGGAACTCATTCTGATGTTGAAGCTGGAACTCCCTCCATGCATAGGATGCCCATAATTCTCTGAATGTGGCAAATCTGCTCTCTTCAGATGTTTTGACTGTACCTCCCATAATCCCTGAACATTGGCCAGGCCGGCCGTGCTTGACGGGAGCTGTCATTCTAAATACCTGACAAGGGCAGGTTTCCTACCCAGAATTAAATCAGTAACAACTATCACAGAATGTTTTGAAAATTGCATTAAGAAAAACAGTTCAAAGAATTATGAGAGCTACATTTAAAAGATATGTTTTGATAGTCTTCCTAAAAGCAGAGAGAGTACAGATCAATGCAAAGGTCCGGTATTTCAGTTTGCAAGTGGTGCAGAAAAAAGCTTTCATGCATATCCATTAAGTACCAGCATCTTTAAAAGGGCATCCCCTGTAAATCTTAATAGTTAGATAAGATGAGGAGACAGTGCCTGAGGGGCATGAGGTGGGCAGAAGGCTGCCTCAAGGGTTAAAATCAGCAGAGCTGTGCCTGCTAGAGTGGGTTGCTTTGTTCTACTGGGGAAGAAAGGAAGTTAAAAAATAATGAAAAGAGAGGAGCTGCTTTCCGTTTCCGCTCTGGGAAATTTGGCTTTTGAACTCCCTTCCCAGCCAAAGAGCTGCCGCAGACGGGGATGGAGAAGAGATGGGAGGTTGCTTCTTAGAGACAAAACAGTGGGTGAGTCCCAGGAGCACCTCAGGGGAGAGGTATAACGGATCGCCAGTATTATTATTGTCATTAGCCTTTGAAGGAGGAGTGTCACAGTGAAGAAGGAGGGAATTGTGCTATTGGCAAAGGGGGAAGGAAAGGTGGTTTATTCCGGTCTGATTTCCCACCACATTCAGAAGATATGGAGTGCAGAAGGCAAGGCAGCCTTCCTCTGTATCTGCAGGATTACAACTCCCATTATCCCAGAAGGCTACTTACACCCTGCCATAAGACAGATTTCCCTGGCTTGATCCCCTGCAGATGTGCTACCCTATAATTTTCATGCTCTCCTGCTGGGAAAGTTATGATATTTGTAATCCTGTGCATCCGATGACCCCAGAATGGGGAAGACTTCTGCAAGTCAAGGCTATGGATGGGGTGTGAGACCTCAGTACTAACATTAACACACGGGATGCTTGGATGAGCATTTTGGATGCTTGTGCATCCCAAAACGGGATGGTTGCTATACCTCAAGAATTGCAACGAGCATCATCCTCTCTAAACAGTTAGGTATTTTTCTTGGGTCAGGCAGGCCTGGGCCACTGCTCTGAGACAGATCTTGTTTTTAACTGTTGCTCTTTAGTATGATTTAAATTATTTTGTGTGATTTTGAGTGCAGTGTTTTATTCTTGAAGAACCTGCTTCTGAACAGATAGATGAGATACAAGTGTGGTGGTACCCTCAGGGCAGGACTTCAGGGCAGCTTCCTGGGGTCCCCAGCAGGAGGGGCCTCCAAATGCAGCAGGGCTTGCAGGTCACATTTGGAAGTAATATACAGCACCTTCCAGAGGGGCTCCCCATAAGACCGTATGAAGTGCATGTCCTAAAACACCAGCCTTCCAGATGTTTTGGACTAGAACTCCCAGCATGCCTGCCCACTGGCCATGCTGGCTAGGTCTGATGGGAGTTGAAGTCCAAGAAATCTGGAAGGTATGTGGCTGGGGAAATCCATAATGCATGGAACATCTAAAGGGGTGGGGGAGTGCCCTCATAAGACCATTAGCCCTGGAGTCAAGTGTCCAAATAAATATTAGTAATTTTGTGGGAAACTTGTGAGGAATATGTGGACAAACTGCTGCTTTCTTCCTTCTCTCTTTGCATCCTGTTTCTACAGGGATTAGGCTGAGAGCCACTTGGCTAAAACCATAAGAAGTCTTTGCCACATTGCATCGGAAGCTCCATTTGAGCAGAAGATCTGGCCAGTTCTGGTTGCCTTCAGGGAGGATTTTGATAGCTGAGCTGCTTCTGTTTTGAGCACATCCTCAGCTCCTGAATATTCCCTCTCATTGTCTGGAAGCATCACGTAATTTCTGTGGGACCAGTTGCATTCTATCGACTAAACTCCAGGAACCAAAAATACAGGCCTAGGGTTAAGGTGGCCATTTGTGAATTGCCAAAATAATGAAAAAAGAGGACATGAATCATCACAAAAGAGGGCATCAGCTCGCATAGAATTGGCTTGTGCTAATTTATCTGTATAGATGCCAATTTAAAAGAAATTGTTATAATTTAAATAAAATACAGTACAGGTGACCAGGTGAACTGGGTGCCCATTCAGGTCGGCTCATTAGCTGCTAACTGTGGATGGGCAACTTTCAAGCGGCTGCTGCACTCGCTTGTCGGGATTCCTCACCTTGAAGCTGGAGTTAGACAAGGCAGACCTTTAATTAGAGGGTACCATCAATCTAGAAAACAGTCCTCTAGCAGCTCTTCAGATACAGGACTCTGCTCTGAGAACGAGGACACCTGGACACCTAGTCTGTGCTGAGCTGCCAGGCAGTTGGAGATCTTTCAAGGCCCGGTTCCTCCAGAGCGAGAAAGATGACTACAATGGAAGGGACTTCAGTGGGCACATGCCTTCAGTGTCCCTCAGCCCAGGAGGAGGCAGGAGGTGCCGGAACAAAATCCGAGGAACAGGCTGTGCCAGAGTCCGGAGAAGGATCGGAGGAGAAAGAGAAAACGCCTCATGTCATCCAGTCTGGGACTCTCCGAGAGTTTCTGAAATGGGCAGCCCCTCAGCAGATCAAGCAAGAACCGGAGGAGGTTTTGCCGGAGCACTGGGAGGCGCAGTGGAGGGAATTCCTGAAGGCGATGCAGGCCGCTCCTTCGGAGCCCTCCTGCTCGCCCGCCAAGCCTCCTCTTGACCGCTTCCAGCGGTCCGCAGTCCGCGCCCACCGCCACCACCACCGCCCCAGCAGAGGAGGCGGAGTGACCGGGGCGCCGCTAGGCCTCCGCGGAGAAGCCAAGTGGGCCCGTGGCAACCTGAGTGCCAGAGGCAGCAAAGGCCCTTCCAGGAAGATCAAGGCGGCCCTTCTGGAGAGGCCGGAGATGCAGCGGCAGCGCTTCCGGATGTTCCGCTTCGAGGAAGCCAAGGGGCCCCGCGAGGTTTGCAGGCAGCTTCGGGAGCTCTGCCACTACTGGCTGAAACCGGAGAGCCACACCAAGGAGGAGATCCTGGAGCTGGTGATTCTGGAGCAGTTCCTGACCGTCCTGCCCCAGGAGATACAGAGCTGCATCAGGGAAGACGAGCCGGAGACCTGTGCCCAGGCGGTGGCCCTGGTGGAGGGTTTGCTGCTCAAGCAGCAACGAGGGCCCAGAGGACGGGGACCACGCCAGGTGAGGAGGCAGGGCTAGCGCGGGCAACCCTGCAGGGCTCAAAATGAGGACTTGTGTAGGCAGGAGTGGAAGCGGCGTGAGGCTTTTCGCGTTGCTGGATTGTCTTCATAGGAACGTAGCAGGATGAAACGCCCTTGCGCACGGCCATCTGCCTTCGGGCAGGTTTATCCTTGTTGCTCGCTTCAGGGGAAATGTGCACAAAAATACACAGAACTGTGTAGGGAGCAGAAGTACACGTGCAGTGCACACATTTGAGAAAAGTGCACAGAAGGACATTGCAGCCATGTAAAAGGTGTTGGAAAAAGCGACATGGGAACAGGGGAAGCGGTTGGGTGCAGAATGTCCTGATACCTGATCTGTGGTTTTAAAGGACAATGGGGCACATTCCCTTGGGAACTGCTTGCCCTCCTGGTTAGGAGAGGGAATGATGTGCAGGGGAATCCCTGGAGATGACATGGGGCATTCGCCTCGCCTCCTGCCCAAGACCCTGGTGGCCTCCAGGCGATGGGCTTCAAGGAACAGCCTTGGCTGAGGACAGATGGGCTGGGTTGGTGGTCCAGGCCATCCCACAGGCTGCCCGTCGCTGCAGGAAGCAAGCGGTTCTGGACAGAGAGAGGCGTGCTGAGTGTTTTGGCTCTGAAGGGGGGGGGAGTGTCAGCACAGTTTGGGAAGTTCTGTCCACGCCCCCCCCCCCTTGCCTAACTGTGGAGCTCATGCTGTCCTTGCTGATGGTTCCAGGGGCCAAGTTTCTTTGAAGATGGAGCAGTCGGTCCCTCCAAGGCACGACGCGTTTCAGCCGATGTGGGACAGAAGCCAGCCAAACTGGAGGGTGGCAGAGAAGTGAGCCCACTAGGTAAGGCTTGACCATGCTGGGATTAGAGAGCTTGTCGAAACAAAAGCAAAGCGAGTCAGAAGGGCTCTCCCGGGCCATGTAGACGGACCCCCAGCTCCAGCCGGCTCCGCTCATGTCATCCCCAACATGTGGTTGTCCAATCTTTCCAACACCCCCCTGATGGGGCCTCCAGCGCCTCCCATGGGAGCCCATTCCATTTTCTAGGGGTTCTAACTGCCAGGAAGTACTTCCCGATCTCCAACATTAAGCCTGGTTCCTTGAGCTTTGCCCCTTGGAACACATCCTGCCCCCCACTGCAGGGGAGAAGAGGTCACGGCCCTCCTGCACTTGACATCCCCTCACATACTATATGTCGCTAAGAGATCCCCTTGGAGTCTCCTCTTCTCCAGGCGGAAAAGACCAGTTCCCCCAATCTCTCCTCATGTCATCCCTCCCATCCTGGCTACCATCCTTGTGACCCTGCGCTGAACTGAGTCTAACCTAACTGTGTCCCTCCTATAATGTGGAGCATGGAACTGGACGCATGTGGGCACACCAGAGTCATGCAGAGTGATAGCAGCACCTCCCTAGATCTAGAAGCCATCCAATGGTCGTGTTGCATTGTGGGTAAGAAAGAGAGCCCAAATTGCAGGATCATACCTGGCTTCAAATGCACCCAGCAGCCCTAGGCCAGAGGCGGGCAGGCCTTTCTCAGCCAAGGGCTTCTCTCCCTCATTGGCCACCAGCAGGGCCCAAGGCAGTGGTGATTAGGGCCGGGGTCAAAGACTGGTGAGCTGCCCCTTTTCTCTTTCTTCCACCACTTTGTCACTCTCTCCCTCTTCTTACCTGGCCAGCGGGCTGCTGGGGAAGAGACAGTCATCCCATTTAGATGACTGTCCAGACACTTTTTGAATGTCTCCAGTCAGGGAGAGCCCACAGCTTCCCCAGGTAATAGGTTCTGCTGTTGGCGTACTGCTCTGACAGTCAGGAAGCTCCTCCTGATGTCTAGTCTAAAACTGCTTTTTTAAAACTTAAGCCCCTTATTCCATGTCCTCCACTCTGGAACAGACAAGAAGAGATCTTGTCCTTCCTCTTTGTGACAGTATTCCAGGTACTTCTAGAGTGCTATCATATCTCCCCTCTGTCTTCTCTTCCTGAGACTGAACATGCCCAGTTCTCTCAGTCTTTCCTCACAGGGTTTTGCCTCCCGTTCCTGAATTGTCCTTGTTGTCATCCTCTGTATCCTTTCTAGCTTTTCTGCATCTTTTTAAAACTCAGGTGCCCAGAAATGGACACAGAAGTCCAGGTGAGGTCTGACTAGTGCTGAGTAGAAGAGAACTAGTATTTCATGTGTTTTGGAAGTGATGCTTCTGTTGATGCAGCCCACAATAGCATTGTAAGGTTATTAGGTCTGGTTTTTAATGGAAATGTTTTACATGTCAAACTGTTTTACATTTTTGTATATTGGCATCTTTAGCTGTTTTAAATTCGCATGTTGGAATTTAGACTGCGTTTTATTGCATTTGTATGTTTATTGCATCTTTTGGTTTTTTTTATTAATTGGGGTGTACCACCCAGAGAGCTTTAGCTACTGGGCTGTATAGAAATAAATACATTTGCCATGTCGAGGAGGGTGACCCACAGACCATGATCTGTGTGTGAGTAGGAAATGGTCAGGCTCCTAATTTGCCCTCAGCCCTCCCATGTTGCTTGGCTCCAGTCTCCTCTGAATAATCACAGAAGAGAGGACCAGCCAGTCCCATCACACCCAAGGCAGAGGTGCAACAGACTTAAGGACAGGCTGATTGGAAGGCTCTAATCCCATACCAGGGCATCACGCAGAGATACTGCGGGCAGCCTCTTTGTGGGTGAGTGCCTTGGGCTCCCTTAATGCCCACCAAGCTCCTCCCTTTCCTGATTATTGTTTTATTTAAAGTTTTTTTAATTACTCCTTTTTTAAAAAAACTGGCCTGCTGTGAATCATAGAATAGTAGAGATGGAAGGGGCCGTGAAAGCCATCGAGTCCAACCCCCTGCTGATGCAGGAAGCAACATGCATTCCATTGACCTCATTAGTTTGACTCCAGAGAGTGCTTCTGGTGTTCTGCAGCCCAATTTCCTGCCTCCGCTTTGGAGAAGCTCACAAGTTTGCCCCACAGGGAATGGGGCTTTGTGACTAGACATTCTCCTTATTGTAGCCCTTTCATGAATGGGAAGACACCCCTGCTGTGGCAGCTCTTTTTGGTGATGGTCACGGCACTCTCAGAATTCCAAATTCCACTGACCCAGAAAGAATGGGACCTGCGCTTTAACTTATTTTTTTCCCGGAGATCTTTTGTGGTGTAGAGTCTGGGAAGTCCTGACAGAGACTGAAGACTGGAAGACGAGGAGCTGCAGAACAGAGGACCACTTGCCGGTAGATTTTTCTGTCACATTCCTGACTTTCTGGAAACTGAGATCTGTCTTCTGTTTCAGGCCACTGCAGGGCTGCTGGTGCTTCTGTGGAAAAGAGAGCTAGCCGTGGGGCAGGGAACAGGTCATGCAGCCCACTAAGAACCCAACAAGGAGACGGGAGCCTGCAAAGTACCGACGGCGGGAAAAAGGCCCGTCGGACCCCCACCTTTGTCTCACGCCAGAAGGGCCACGCGGCACAGAGTCCCCACCAGTGCACCGATTGTGGGAAGCGCTTCACTCAGCGTTCAAGCCTCACCATCCACCGGAGAATCCACACAGGAGAGAAGCCCTACCCCTGTCCCCAGTGTGGGAAATGCTTCCGGCAGAGCTCAAACCTTCTGAAACACCAGAGAATTCACTCAGGAGAGAGGCCCCATCGATGCCAGGAGTGTGGGAAGTGCTTCGCCCAGCGCTCACACCTCCTCATCCACCAAAGGACCCACACGGGGGAGATGCCCTATGTGTGCTCCAAGTGCGGGGAAAGTTTCAGCCAGCATCGGGGCCTCATCGCTCACAAGAGAGTCCACACCGGAGAGGCAACCAGAGGCTATGGCTGTCCCAGCTGCGGGAAGCAGTTCCAGCAGAATTCGGATCTCAATAAACATTTGCGAATTCATACAGGGGAGAAGCCCTACAGCTGCTCCGAATGTGGGAGACGTTTCCGCTACAGCTCCAATCTCAGTAAACACCAGAGAACTCACAAGGGAGAGAAATCGTACCTCTGCAAATGAGAATGGGAAATGCTCCAGCCACTTACCAACCCAGAATATGTACCAATGAGGACGGGCTGTGGCAAGAGATCTGTTTCCATCTGCAGGTTGCAAGACACATGCGAACCCACTTAGGACATGCTCTGTACATCTTCAGTGAATGTGGGAGGAGCCTCAGTTCCCAGGCTACCTTGACCACACATCAGAGAATTCACTGTATTATGCTGATATTTTTATTGTTGTATTTTTATTTTGTCTGTTTGGCTATTTTATTGTTGTTTTTCTGTTTCGTTTCTCTGTAAACCACCTTGAGGGCATTTGCCAGTTGGGTGGTATATGAACATAATAAATGAATGAACAACCAAATGACCTGGATGTTGGGGAACATGGGTGGGAGGGTGCTCTTGCACCCTGTCCTGCTTGTGGGTTTCCCATGGGCGGTTGGTTGGCCGGGATGTGAACAGATTGCTGTACTAGATGGACCTTGGTCTGATCCCGCAGGGCTTTTCTTATGTTCTTGACAGGGAGCCTGTCATTAGAGAGAAGACAAAAGCCACATAGAGAGTTCAGCCGAGCCAAAACAGAGGAACTCCTTGGATGGATTCACGTATAATGGCAAGCAAACCCAGCAAGAGTGGTGACTCGTGGTAAGGATGGTCTCTGTGAAAACATGGAGAGAAACAATGGTCTGTTGTATGGTTGCTACATTTCACTATGGCTTGCTTGTGCATCGGAACGAGTCTCCACGTTTCCATTAGCAAGTTTCACAGCAAGAGTGGCTGCAGCTACCTCAGACTGTCGTGGTAGCGTCTGTTATCCAGTCAGCCTGGCACCAGCTGAGTCCTCTGCAGCCACGCTACGATTGGCCACTCCACCCTGTCTCACTGCTCTGCCTGTGTGCTCTCTTCCCAGTGCCCACTTGCAGCGGTGGAATCTCGGTGGCAGCCCCGCGGGCATCGCCACCTCCGGCAGCAGCAACCTTGGAGACAGCTGTGCTTGGTGCTCCTGCCCGGTCACTGCGGTTTGCTCCAGTGGTGCTTGGCAGGTGCTCTGCACTTGCTCTGCTCTTCTCGGGAAAGTTGCTCCATGCAAGAGGAGCCCCCAGGCTGCACACAGGCAGTGCCAAGAGGGCCCTCACTCTGAAAGGCCCGTCTCCACCTTCAACACCTCTCCTGTCTTGTCCCTGCTGTCCCCTCCCCTGCCACTGCTGTGGGACAAACACACTCCCATCTGCCAGTCACGAAACTTTCCCAAGCAGATACCCACACATGCCCGCTCAAGAAACGCCCCAGCAGGACACACCACTTCTGTGCATCAGCCTGGAAATACTATATATCTGGCACTGTCTCACCTGGTGAATAACCATCCCAATAGCTGGAGTCACCTGCAGCCTCCCCAGAAACACTGCTGCGCCATGCCAAGCCCTTCTAGTGGGACCAGAGTCAACTAAGCCTTCCCCACACCTTCCACAGACGATGGGTATCTTTCTTCCAACGGCATGCCTGCAATGCAACAAGAGAATTCAAGAAGATGATGGTAACAGATTGTGTTCTCTGCATTTCTCCTTGCCCTGCCAAATTGTTGACCAAAAGGTCCCTGCCCTGGTGTGTGTATGCCCAAAATACGCAACAGGGGAAGGTTTTCTTTTAAAGAATTTATTCTTGAGAATATCAACTAATTGTTCCAGATAAACCCCCTCAGGAGTCCTTGGCCCTTTTATACATTGATCATTAGAGGGTTACATGTAATATAGTTAACACTTTCCAGTAGGTTATAGAAGTAAAAAGTTGGAATGGTGTGATCTTTCTCACTTGCATACTAAAGACTATGCTCCAAAGGAGGGGGAAGGACTGGGTGCTATTCCAGAGAAGAGGAGGAGGATGGGCTGGACTGGTGTGAATTGCCCCTTGAGCTGCTGTTACCTGTCAAGTGCCAACTAGCTTTCTCTGGACTGCTGCCTGGTCAGTGCCAGCGACATTGCAAGGATGCACAAAATTGCTGATTTCTAGAAAAGAGGGTTTTTCACTGGTCCAGTTATGTGCCGATGATTGCCTGATCATACCTGTGTAAGTTGTACCTATTAATTTGTGCTTCAGTTTCTCCACTTCGGAGCTAAGCCACCCCTGTGGCTTCTGTTCCCCTATTATCTAGTTTGCATTTCATAGTAGTCATTATATATATTTTTGCAAGTTTTGTTTAAGGCAATCTCGGTATGGTAGGGGCACACTGGATGCAGCATTCACGATATGCCACTGGGCCAGAGCGACCAGCGTCACAATGGGACTGTTAGCCAAAAATGGGTGCATTTTACCAGGCAGATGCTTCCCAGCGCAGTGAAAATCAGCGCGTGGGCGGAAACTGCCTCCAGTGGACTCCGTGGATCGTGGCAGCCCGGCTTCCTCCTCCCAACCCAGCCGCAAAGGGGAGTTACGTCCGCCTCGCATGCCCCGGCCTCCCCTCCACGCAGGGGGATTCTGCACGGGTGTGTGAGAGAGAGCCCTTTCCATCCATCCGCTCTGGCTCTCTCGCCAGTCAGCTTCGTAGCGCCATCCCGCCTTGAGAGCAGGCCAGGGGCGCGTGGGGTGGCGGCTGCCGCGGCCCCTTTAAGAGGCCGTCCGAGCGTGCGCCGCTCCGTCCCTGCCCGCAGCCCGCGTCTCTATAGTTCCAGACAGGTGAGTGCCGAAGAAAGGCCGCCGCGCGGGCGGGTGAGTCCCCGTGCCCCTGAGCATGTGCAGAATATTTGTCCTTGTCATGTCCCCCTGAGGTGCTGACGGGGCCTCTTGCCCCTGCGGGAGCCTCTGCCCGTCCTCCGGCGGGGCCGCCCGCGGGCCCTGCAGCGCTGCCGGCGCGGTGTCGCCCGAGGAGTGCCAGGGCGCAGCGGCCGGAGGGGGCCGCGCCGCGGCTGCCCCCGCAGGCCTCGTCCCGCTTTCGGTGGAGGCCCTCGCGCCGCCCCGCCCCGCCGCCTGCTCGGCAGAGGGAGAGGGGATGCGCCCTCGGCCGCTGCCTCTCGGCCGGGCTGCGCTGTCGTCCCGACGCCGCCGCAGCTCTTTCCTCCTCTCCCCGCCCGCCTTTCCCAGCTCGTCGCAAGTGTTTTCGTCCGCTGCGCTTGCTTCTGCTCGTTGCTTGGCAGGGGAGGCTGGTGCCGCCGAGCTGAAAGGGCTCCGACCACGGCAGCGCTTTGTCTGAGCCCTGTGGGAGCTATCCGTGGTGCTGAATTCCGTCCCTAGGCACCATTCGCGCCATGGATCGCGGCCATGGAGCTCAGACGGCCTTGCAGGAGGAGTAAAGCACGGGCATCACTACCCTCCCTTGCCTTCATTTGTCTGTTTCTCCTCGCCCCCGTCCTACTGCAGACCCATGCTTTGGTGTGCATAGGCAGGTTCTAGGTGGTTCTGTTAGTTTATCTTGCACTTGCTGTTTCCAAGCATGGCTGTTTATTGCATGTTACCCTTTCTCCCTTCTTTTCCCTAAGTAATCTTACCCCCTGCCATAACTGATATGGCTGCTTCATTTCAAATAAACATTGTTAGTAAGTCCCAAGCTTCTCTCGTGCTTATGAGCACTTCAGGCTTCAAAACAGGGCATGCTGGCTTGGCCCTCTTTTCAAGATGGAGGATGGAAAATGAGGAAGCAGAAGAAATGTAAACTTAACGTAAAGAGATGGAGGTAAGGGGGCTCTACAGGGGACAAAAAAGAGGTGGAATGTGATTACAACAAAGAGCAGCAACATGGGGGAAAGGGTTTCAGGGAAGGAAGAGTTCTACATGCATATTTCTAACCAATCTCATTCCTTGCAGCTCTGGGGCAAGTAACAGAAGCTAAAATAAATGCATATGAAATGGCAATATTAAAAACAGTTTAAACTTCTAGGTGCCCAACCTATCTGAAGCAAATTCAGATCCCTACTACCACCACGCTTGTGGATCAGAACTCCTACAACTATCAGCCTCCCAGTTTTCTTTGCAGGCAAGCTGGTAGAGGAGGGATATGCCTTTCTGTTACTTTTCCATTGCTCTACTTGGTTTCTATGCTTGTGAGAGAGGAATGAAAACCCTTTTTTCTATGGTCAGCAAGGAGACCAGGCAGGCAGGTAGAAAGAGGTGGAACTCACTGTCCTTCCTCTACTGGTGTACTTGATGGAGAGCTTTTACTAGCCTACTAAAAGGCTGTTGGCCTCCATTTCCATGCTGGCCACAAATGAGGAAGTTTCCCCTTCTTGACATTCAGTATGAAAATGCAAGCTACTAATCCCTCAGCAGGCTATTTAAAAGTCCTGCAGATTTGTAAACTTTGTGGGCTTACTGAGAAGGCTCCTTTGGATTTATTTCATCATCGAACTGAAGGTTAACTAGTTCCTGGTTTCATTTGGCTTTTCTAGTCCAGGGTGGCTAACTGATAACTCATGAACCAGATCCAGCCTTAGGGTTGGAAGAAAACTCAATTTTATTCCTGTAGTCATGATGATGGATTTAAGTCAGCTTAAAATATGAAACTACATGTGGCCACAGTGTTTTTTTAAACTCTTGGTTTATTGCTCTAATGTGTCAGGAATAGCAATTGTACAGTGTGAAAGAGTGGTCAGGATGTGGAGAAATGCTTCATACCTGAAAAATATGCTTGGCCTTCTAAAGTTTCCCTGACTGCCTCCGTAAGGCCACAAAGTCCAGAGTATAAAATCACACTGTTGTACCGCTGGCTCTGACTCAAGGACCCTTCCATAGTGCCCATGTTTGCATGCTACAATCATCCCTACATTCTAAATATGCTTAAAATGTTTTATTCCAGTGTGGACTTTCTGTTTATGGGAACAGTAAGAAAAACACTACAGAATCTATGTTTGCATATAGGTTACACTCCTGCATTGCTATCTTGTTTCTCCCTGCATGTTTCTAGACAGACCAAAATAAAAATAAAAATAAAAAAATGCTGCAGGTCAGAGCTTTTAGTGAGGATATCCATCCGCTCAGGCGGTGACTAATATCATTTAAAAGAACATGCCTGTGAAATGCTGTGAGGGAGAATAGAACTACCCACTCCTGTTCTAGCCCATCTAAGACAAAAGCAAGCTGTGAGCATCTTTAGCCACTGAAGCAGAGTCTCTGATGTGTGGCACGCTGGGAGAAATGTTAAAAAATGTGCTCCCAAGCAAGAAATTATGACTCTTATATTTTAAGGATATCTGAAAGTCTGAGAGATTTTCAAACCAAAGAAACTTCTTCCCACCTCCCTAAGCTCTCATGTCATAACTTTTGCTCTAGGCTAAAGATCCTTTATGTTTTTCCCCCACTGTGGATTTTCTGATGTTTACGGAAACCAGAAAAGCTGCAAAACCTCTTTTCACAGGCAGTGCATTTGTATGGCTTCTCTCCTGTGTGCGTTCTCCTGTGTCCAATGAGGGAGGCTTTCTGGCTGAAGCTTTTGTCACAGTCTGTGCATTTATGCGGCTTCTCCTGCCTGTGAATGGTCTCATGTCTTAGGAGGTCTGAGGGTTGACAGAACCATTTGCCACACTGCAAGCACTGATAGGGCTTCTCTCCTGTGTGTAGCTTCTTATGTCGGACGAGGTTAGGGGCGTAACCAAAGCGTTTCCCGCACTTGGAGCACTCATAGGGTTTCTCTCCAGTGTGGGCTCTGCGGTGTGTAATAAGGGACCGCTTATCACAGAATCTTTTGCCACAGTCTGAACACTGATGGGGTCTCTCTCCCGTGTGGGTTTTCTCATGAATAAGGAGGGATCCTTTCCAGTGGAAGTTCTTGCCACATGCTGAGCATGTGTATGGCTTCTCTCCCGTGTGGGTTCTTTTGTGCATGATAAGGGATTTTTTATCACACAAGTGTTTGCCACACTCCAAGCACTGGAACGGCTTCTCTCCGGTGTGCAGCTTTTTGTGCCTTGCAAGGCTTGAGGCATATCCAAACCGTTTCCCACACTCTGAGCATTCAAAGGGTTTCTCTCCTGTATGGGCTCTCTGATGTGTACTGAGGGAATTTTTATCACAGAAGCCTTTACCACAGTCCGAGCAGGTGTATACCTTCTGTTCTCTGTGCGTTCTCTTATGTCTTGAAAGCACAGAACGCTGAGAGAAAGATTTCCCACACTGTGTGCAACTGTATGGTTTCTTGCCCATGTGGATCCTTTGGTGCTTCCTGAGATAAGAACTATCACGGAAACTCTTCCCACACTCAGAGCAGTCATAGTGCTCCTCTGCTGTGTGGGTCCTCTCATGACTAACAAGAAGATGACTGAAGCGTTTCTGGCAATTCAAGTGTTCATATGGTCGCTCGCCCATACGGGTTCTCAGGTGCATTATCAGCTGTGATGTGCTGATGAAGGTTTTGTCACAGTAGATGCACGTATATGGCATTTCTTTGCACTCCACTGCTTGATGCTTGGGAAGGCCAGAGCTACAGTGGTGGTTTCCGCCATGGTCAGGCACCATTGTTTTGGTGGGATGCTTGTAGACTCCCCCTGGACAAGTACTTTCACGAAAACTTTTGTTGCCATTGATACTAAGGGAGGTCTGTTTCGCTGCCTTCCCTGGATGGTCTTCATGGTGTCTTCCTGAGCCCTGTTGACTTCCAGGCTCCTTGTCTATCTCAAGAATATGGAGAGGTGCGCCTTCGGTTCTTCCTGGAGATGGACCACTGTTATCCACTTGCTCAGGCAGAGAGGTCTCCTCCTTCCACACTTGCCCATCAGCTTCTGGAACAGAAAAGTGCAGCTCAAGTCATACAAGAAAAACTTGGGAAAATGTTCACCCAGACTCCCCCAATCCGGCACCTTCCAAAGGTGTTCGACTTCAGCTCACAGCAGCCCTAGGCAGCGTGACCTGTGGTCAGGCCTGGATGTTTTGGGCAACAAAACATAGAGCTTTCCTAAGCTGCACAAAGCAGCAAAGTCTGCTTTTCAAACATGACATTATACTTTTCTTTTCAACAAACAGAACTCAAAGCAGCTTCCAACAGAGCAGAACAGTATCTAGTTTTCGGTGTCACGTTTTGAAGGATGCTGACAAAGCAGAACAGCCCTTTCCAACATGGCATGTTCTAGCTGTGTTGGACTGCAGGTTCCATCATCCCCACTGCTGGGGGTGTTGGGTGTTATAGTCTACAATAGTTTGAGGGTGCAGGGTTTGTTTGTTTGTTTAAAACTTTTCTACCCCGTCCACCACTAATCGCAGGACAGCTTACAATAAGGAAAGACTGTGGCAAAGTCTATCTATAGGTGTGTGACCAGGAGGTAAGGAGTCCGCAAACAACAACCTAGGAGAGGCTGAAAAAGCTGGTGGTTCCCAAATGCATCTGGAGTGGACGCCACATTTTGAGGTATGTGACCTTCTCCGGGAGCCCTCTGTGAAGGATATTAGGAGGGTAAGTACTCGGAGGAGGGCTTTCTCTGTGGTGGTGCCCAATCTATGGAATGCGCTCCCCAGAGAAGTCCGCCTGGCGCCGTCATTATTTTTTTTCCGACGTCAGGCGAAGACCTTTTTATTTAAATGCCATTTTAATTGTTAATATTTATTTATTTTATTTTTATGGCCAGGACATCTCCAATTATATTATATTGTTTTATATTATTATTTATTGTTGTAAGCCGCCCCGAGGCTTCGGCAAATGGGGCGGCATAGAAGCTTTCTAAATAAATAAAATAAAATTAATAATACACACTGTCATTTCAAAGGGGAGGGCCGTGTGAGCCCCACTTCATAGCACCAGTGAGCAAAGAGGCTGCTGGCTGGCTTGGTTCCCCTTTTTGAAAGAGGTCTTTCTGGGTATCACCGGGAAATTCTACTTCCTGTTCTAAATGAGGCAAATGCTTCTCCTAAGGCTGAGTGACCAACAAGAAGAGCCTTATGCTAATAGATACCTGCCTTTTGGGCCCTCCCCTTCCATCTGTGGCCACAGCCACCACTAGAACCTGGACCCCTAAAGCTTTTCTGCTGTAGTCTGTAAGAGGCTCTGTTCCCCTGTTGTAAAGAACGGGGGAGAGAGGAGCTCCCTCAGGACCTGCATTACTAGCTACATTGCCCTGTTGATGCATGGAAAAAAGATTCTTACCACGACTTTTTTTAGAGGTTCAAGAGCAATACTGCAATTTGCAAACCCCCCCCCCCCCGTGCTGCCAGTGCCTCATGCCCCCGTCCCCCGTCCCCTTTCCCTTTTACTGCACTGGCTCTTGTGGACTCTTGCAAGAGCTCTGCTGTCAGATCTTGCAAGAGTTGCAGAGCCACCTTTTCTGGCCACATGGCTCTCAACAAAGCCAACGCAGAAGCAAAAGCACATGGCAAGGGAAGCAGAGGGCGGGAGGCTTCCATGAGAGCCTGCCCTGCAGCAGGTGCCCTGGAGGGCCCCACCAGCCTCTCTTTCACTGCAGCAACGGCCACGACAGAAGAGGAGCCAGGGGGACTCTCTAGAGCACCTGCTGCAGGTGAGTCCTTGCGGAAGTGAGGAACATGGCGCAACTAGCCATCCCTCCTGCTCCACTTGCTGAGGTGGCTGCCTCATGCCACTTCACAATAGGGCCTGCTTTGCCTTACAAATGGCAAGCACCCATATGCACGAAGAGTTCGGTTCCGATACTGAAAGCACAGTGCAAAGGTTATTAAGGTTCAACAGGCAGCAGAGAGAACTTTCAGTGTGCAGGACAGGTTTTGGAGCCATGTCAGGTTCTTCTCCATAGCCTCAGCATGTCCTAGTTAGGGAGAACATCAAATATAATTGCTTTGCAACAGGTCTCTCCAGTGCTATTCTTTAGGGAAGAGCTGTTTTTGCTGTGAGAAACAAAACTGTTTGCTTTAGCAAAGCAGCTTCAGCCCTGTCTTTGTCTCCCAGGAAGAGGGGTTAGCTTGTGGCCTACTGACAGCCTCTGAAACAGGAGGAAGTATCTAATCTGCTGCTTGTGCTTTGGGTAGAGGAGCACACAGGTATACAAACAAGTGTCCTAGAATGACATCCATCATCTTGGGAAGCCTGGACCTGATGGGACCTGTGCAAGCTTCTCTTTGCCTGACTTTGCGTTGATTATGTGCAACCAGATTCCATCATTGTATTCAATAAGCTGTATGTTTTGAAGTGGTTTTGCCTTTTCCTGATTATCCTCAACTCTAAATCAAGATGTCTTTGGCTGAACGAAGGTCAGAGTAATACTATTTCCTTAATCGCTTACCCAGGGAGCAGGCTGCCACATCAACCGGTCGTTTGGTCCCCACAAAGTCCTGCAACTTTAGAGCATCCGAATGACCACATTCCAGCTTGGGGGAACTGACAGGCACCTCTTCCAAAGGCCCCAACAACTGGCACAGAAAAGAAAAATAGTTCCTTTTCAGAAATTGCCATTTTCCTTGGCAGTAATAGAATAACTGTATTGTATTGCCCCAATCTCAAAAGGCAGGGCTAGAAACAAACATGCAGATCTCACAAGTCTGACATGCCATCTGCCCCGTTCTAACGGACAATCAGGTCGCCTGCTCTCTGCCCTCCAAAGCAGCTTTGAGCTTCGCTGCAATCCTCACAGTAGCTGGAAAGAAAAGAATTTTCTCCAGCAACATTATACTGTTGCTGGGGAAAATTATACTGTTGCTGGGGAAAATACTCTTGCAAAGCAGATTATTTTAGGAAGCTTGGTCTTGAATGAGCCATTAAGAGCCATGAGGTTTTCAAAAGAACTGCTTGCTGGTGGAGAGGAAAGCTGGTTTGAGGATATCAATACACATCATTGCCCAAATGTTTGGAATCTCCTTAAGGGCATGGTGGGGGGGGGCGCAATATCAAGAAGATAGGAGAAAGTCCTACAAAGTCCCAGAATTCCCCAGCCTTTTTGGGGAATTGTAGGGCTTTTTTCCTGTCTAATTACTCATGTAGGACCACAGCTTTAGTCAGACAGGCTGTACTTAATTTAGTCATTAGATTTCTACACTGCCTAAAGACTGAAAGTCTTTGGGTGGTTCACCACGATCTAAACCATAAAATGCAATATCAACTACACATTAAAACAGCATAAAATAAAGATAAAAGTCAAGATAAAACCTAGCAGCAGTGCCAAGATTCAGATTTTGGTAACAGATTTAAACCCACAGAAATGGAAAGGCTAAAATGCTTGGGAGATTAAGCAGGCCTTCACCTGACGCTGGTAGGAGCTCAGTGTAAGGCCCGGGCAAGCCTTTCTAAGGCCCTTACGAAGGCGAGGGGACCAGGCCGTGCTTGGCTTCCTCCCCACCCCCTGCTCCTCACTGAATAACCACCAGCACTCCTTAGCAACCGAATCCCAGAGCTCTGCTTTCCTAGTTTTATATGATGCAGCTGCCGCAACCGTTTGCACTGGATCTCCGGGGACATGTAGGGCTCAATGTTCCCACCTTCTCTTCTGCTCCTTCCAGCTCTCGCAGCTGCGTCAAGAAATTCTCTGCCTGGGCCACCGCCTTGGCGCAGGTTTCTGGCCCACGGTCTCGGACCCAGCTTTGCATCTCTGGGGGAAGGACAGCCAGGAACTGCTCCAGTGTCACCAGTTCCAACATCTGCTCCTTGGAGCATCTCTCTGGCTTCAGCCAGCTACGGCAAAGTTTCTGCAGCTGCTTGCACACTTCCCTGGGTCCCTTGGCGTCCCAGTAGCAGAACTGCCTGAAGCACTGGCGCTGCGTCTCTGAACTGGCCACCTCCTCTGGAATCTCTCCCTCCGCCTTCACAGAGTCGAGACTTTGTTGGGCTACTCCGCTGAGGCCCAGCAAAGTTTGGCCAACACACTCTCCTCTAGGCCTCTGGCTGGCATCAGTGGCTTCCTTACCAGAGGCCTGGATTTCCAGTGTCTCCTCCTTGAGCCAAGCCTGAGGCAATGGCGGGTTTTTCCAACCCGAGTGAGGATCCTGCATTGTCTTCAGGAGTTCTTGCCACTGGGCTTCCCAGCACTGCTGAAGCCCCTCGGGTGGTTCTTGCTTCACCTGAGCCAAAGTAGCCTCAGGCAGAAACTCCCTGATGGTCCCAACCTGGACGACACGGGGGGCTCTTCCCCTCATCTCCCATTTCTCCCATGGCTTGTGTCCTGGTGAGTCCTGCTCTGCCATTTTTATTCCTGGAAGCACCTCCTAGGGTAGACAAGAAGCCCAGCTTTAATCATTTATATATTTGTCATGTCTTAAATTTAAAATATGTTAACCCACCTTTAAGACTGGAACCCTCTCAGAAGGCATACAAAAGAAAAAGCATTCCAAGGGAATATATTGAACATCAGTAGGTATATGTTCTTTAAAAATCCTTAAATAGAGGTTACCTATTGAAATCCAATAAAGACAGAAATTACCAATATAACCAGTACTCTGGAAGGGGATGAGCAACTTGGGGGTCTCCAGGTGAATCCAGGTGCAATTGACAACTGTTTTCAGCTCTAACCAGCATAGCCAAAGGGGATGGGCTGTACCAACAATAGGCCCAAACTTCTGGAGGATCAAAATTTGCCTACTATGTATTCTGGGAAGGCCAGAGAAAAACAGGTGGATCTACAAAGCTTTCCACAAGACCCACAAAGAAAAGCCTTAACAAACCCAAAGATTAATAAAAACAGGCTGATTCCAAAGTACAGCAGGAGGCAATCTGGGCACCTCCCCCCCACAAAAAAAAGGCGTTGAAGGAGGAGGCCCATTGACAGAGCTCCTGGAATATGAAAGGTTTCTGCTTCGACCTCAGCTTCTTCAGGTGGGACCAAATGGAAGGTCATTGCTGCCAAGCAGTGTTGGCAACACTGGGCCAGGTGCCCTGAGGGCTGGACACAGCTTCCTCCGTTCCTCAAACAATGCAATGTTTGCATAATTTGTGACAGCTGTTCCAAACTATGAGCACAAGGTATGCCACATCCTAACGGCAAAGGCCTCCTTTCAAGAAGGAGCCCAGAACGCTGCTGATCCCAGCTTGATTTCTTTGCATTGTTTATCCCACCTTTTGCCCATGAATCGCACAGCAGCCAACATGAATGTCTCAACAACTCTGAGACAGGTTAGAGCAACAGATGGGAGGATCAGACCCAGGGGGTACCCAGTCCAGGATTCTGGTCAGAGCAGCCAACCAACTGCCAAGAGGAAACCCACAAATGTACGTAAGCGCAAAAGCCCTCCTTGCCTATGTTCCCCAGCAGGCGGTGTACACAAATACATGACCTCTGATACTGGAGGCAAAATACAGCCTCCAGGAATGGGTCCAATCCCCTTTTAAGTGCCTCCATCGCTACACCTCATGGACACGAGTACCATAGTTTAACTGAGCTGCGTGAACAAATCTGCCCCGAATCTCCCACCACTTAGTTTCAGGAATGATCCCTTTCGAGTCTAGTATTATTACAGAGGGAGAAACATGCCTCCTCATTTTCAGGAAAAATGTAATTTTTCCATGGAGCGTTTGAAGTGTATTCACGCAAGGTGAAAAAGGCACGCAGAGAAGTGTTGTGTCCCGCAAAGATGAATGAGACCAATGGACGACCAGAATATGGTTTGAGGAGTTTAATACCTGCGCAGGGGCCAGCACTCTCACACAAGGATGGGATGAGTGCGGCCCCCGGTAGAGGAACAGCTGGGTTTTTATACCTTGTTACAAACAAATGGAAAATTGTTATCAACAGCCTAAGCAAGTGAGCATGATACAGAAGCGGAGCGGTTTGCGGTAAGCCTTGCCCATTTTCTGAAAGAACACCCTGTATATGCCTGGAACAGCTGTTAACATCCTGGTATGCTAGCTTCCTGTGCATGCCTGGGGCGCGGATAACATTCTGTTATGCTAACTTTAGTACACAACTGATAAGCCTCCTGTTATGCTAATCTTGTGCCAGGTGGGTAACAAAACAAAACAAAAAGCCTAACAAAAAGGCAACACAGAGACAATGGAAGGAGGGAAGAGAAAATAAACATAGGCATGAGGAAACACAGGCAGGGGAAACTCATGGCATGAAACTGAACATAGAAACAGGAGCGGAATAATATCAGTGATAATAAAGGCGAGGGAAACTACTGCGGAAGAACGGTGAGGTGACAAGAGGAAGTAAACCTCCACCACAGATGCCCTTGTGGGAAGCGACTGGCAAACCTGCAGCCTGGCTTTGTTTTCACTCCTATTAGGTCAGGAGAATTTAAATTCTTACTCAAGACTTCTGGGTTTGTCTGTACAGGCCACTATGAATGCCTTCCGTTGCACCTCTCCGAGATGGCATGGGGACAAATATCAAAACATCTAGGTTTTTTGCACAGCTGGGGCTCTTTCCTCCTCATCACCTTCCTTTGCTGGTCTTGATAAGTCCTCGCTCTATTCCTGGTCCACGTGGCGCAGACTAGAAAGTTGATCTGAATTTACTGGCAAGATCCGCAGCAGATTTCCAGGAGGTTCGCATGGCTTTCCACTCCCACGGCACGGGTTAACAGAGGCAGCGACAAGTGATTGCCCTCCGGCCCTCGATTCTGGGGCTGGAATGAGTGGGGCGGCCAGGATGGGGCTGGCGCGCGTGGAAGGGCTGCCGGCGCCATTCCGTTCCCGCAAATCCTTGCACTCTACGCGTGCGCCTTGATCTCGAGGCTCCGCTCGACCGCGTGGTTGTGTGAACGCAAGGACGGACCCGGCTTGCCTGAAGTCCGCCCGGCCCCGACAGAGCGATCTCGCTTGGAATAAAGACCATCGCCGGTCCCACCAAACTAACACGGGAGAGGCGAACCAGCTTCCTTGCCTGGGGGCCCGTGGACTGCCACCTTCTTTTCCCCACCTGCATCCTCCCCTTCCCCAAACGCGACTGACTCACCTCCTCCCAAGCGCGGCTTCAACGACGCTGAATTCCTCCACCCAACGACCTAAGCCAGGGGGCGCTCGCTCCCCGCCTCCCGCCGCCCCGCAGCGCCACCCCTCGCTGGGCGGAACAGCAACGGGGGTGGGAAATCAGCCCGAATGCAGCCTCTCTAGGAACCGGGGCGCCCTTGGTCGCGCTCCCGCCAGAAGGGGTTGCTTTCCAGCTGGTGGTGCCCAGCGCTGCGAGTCCCCCGGTCGGAGGGCGGACTTCCAGGGCCCGAGCCCCGAAGCTTTCCTCTGGCGCCCTTGGGTCCCCGGGAGGCGTCTGTGCCAGCAGCCTGTTCAAGGGCGCTTGCTGAAAGAAAGGTGCCGTCGCCCTGATGCCCCCCGTTGGAGCTGACCCCCTGGAATAGCCGGCTTTTGGCCACTTCTGCCGCACCGCCTGCCGCCCCCGCCCCCGCTGGATCTCTGCCGGAGGGCTCCCCCCGCGGCCCTCCTGGCCCCTGCCAGGCATCCACGTTCGAGTACAGAGACCTTTGCAAACATAGGCACGTTTTTGCTCCCGTGGACCTGAGACCTGGCTCCTTTCGGGGCCCTCTGTCCGAGAGTGTGTCCGGTCCAGAGCTTATTTAGAGAGAAGAACGCAAGAACGGTTGCCCATGAAAAGTTAGCATCAGAATCACGGACAACGGAGTAGTCACACTCACAGGTGACTCCTATGGTGAGATGTGTGGTGTCAGATGTTGACATTGCAATGATTAATTATACGTTTGCGCCTACACATATTGAGGATAGGTGTACATGCATATAACTGCTGCAATATGCTCTGCCTGGGGCGCTCCCTGAAGTGTGTCCGGAAGCATCCATTAGCGCATCTTACCTGGGCCATATCGCACTTGCCGTGAAAGACCTGCATTTCTTGCCTCTTGCTCTCCAGGCCCAACTCAAGATGTTGGTTTTAACCTTGAGCAGAGTGATCCTATGAGGTTCTTTTGTCCTATGTTGTGGGGTGATCCTTTGGTGGCCACCATAATCATCATAAGTAGACAGAAAGGAAAGGCTTATTGTTATTCAGGTCCTAATTTATGATGGCAGTGTGTCTTAAATAGCTTACTCCTGGGATGTGTTTGGGTTTACCCTGTTAGACTAGGAGCCATCCAGAAAGAGCAGTGTTAGCGGTAACAATTTGAAGTCACTGCGCTGCCTTAACCATTTTTTTTTCATTTTTTATAAGAAAAAAGATGGAGGAAGCAGTGAGAAATGGAAGACCATGTCATCTGGAGCTCCAGTAAATATATGAATAAGTCAGGGCATTGGCATGGTAAAGACCTTGTCTGGGACCAAGAGTATATTCTTAGTCAAGAATATGAGGTATATTTGCCTGAGAAGAATATATATTGAGCACAATAGGACAGACTTCTGAGTAAACACATATCTGGGCTTGCAATGTAAAAATCATTAAGAATATGACAAGGACCAAATTAGGCTCAGAATGACTTTATTCGTTTGCTTGCTTGTTGGATTTTTATCCCACTCCATTAGCCATAAGGCTTCAATAGAATTGCAAACTAATTTCCTCACTGAAATTATGTGAACTGAAGCTCAGTGATCCTTTGAAATTCACTGTTTTCTGAATTTTGCCGTTCAAAATATATGCATAAAAATGTGCATTGTAGACAAATTTAAAAATGAATTGTATTAGGAAAATAGTTTGCAGAAATATGTGTATTAAATATGTACATTCTAACATGTTATATAGAGATAGAGACAGAGACAGAGAACCAAGGCATGTTGTCTTATTGCAAAATGAAGGATTTTGTCCTCTATTACTTTGGTCATTAATCCCATTATGTTCAATGGGGGTTAGCCCACACTAAGCATGTTTAGGAGTGCAGCCTTACAAATGCATAAATGCAAGAAGGCTATTATTATTACTATTATTATTATTATTATTATTAGAACATTTCTATGCCGCCCCTTGCTGAAGCCTCGGGGCGGCTTACAACACAATAAAATACAATACAAAAATAACAATATAAAATTAAAATTAATAATATAAAATAAATAAAAAATATAAACGATGTAAAAGAAGTTATAAAAGAAAGTTAGAAAAGAAAAGAAGTCACCCTGTTTTTATTAATCTTTGGGTTTGTTAAGGCTTTTCTTTGTGGGTCTTGTGGAAAGCTTTGTAGATCCACCTGTTTTTCTCTGGCCTTCCCAGAATACATAGTGGTTTAGTTTGGGTATTTAAAACTACAAACACTTTTTTAAAGCAATTGAATGTTTATTCTATATTTTCATTGGTTTCCTGGAATCAGTAGTTCAAATTATCATATTGTAAACAGTGCAACTTATTGTGTGTAACAGAGGTCCACTGTATTTTTTTCCAAAGACTGCAGTTTATTTGTGTTAGGCTCGACCCACCTGGCACAAGATTAGCATAACAATGTTATCAGCTGTGTACTAAAGTTAGCATAATAGGAGGCTTTGTGTATTGAGTTAGCATAATAGGAGGCTTTGTGTATTAAATTAGCCTAATAGGAGGTTTATCAGCTGCCCCAGGCATACACAGAGTGTTATTTCAGAAAATGGGCAAGGTTTATCAAAGGCGTAAAACTTAAAAGGATAGGCTAACTGCAAACCGCTCCGCTTCTGTATCAAAATATAGACTAACCGCAAACCATCTCGCTTCTGTATCATGCTAGCTCGCTTAGGCTGCCAATAATAATTTTCCATTTGTTTGTAACAAGGTATAAAAACCCTGCTGTCCCTCTACTGGGGGCCCGCACTCATCCCATCCTTGTGTGAGAGTGCTGGTCCCTGCGCAGGTAATAAAAAACTCCTCTTAAAAATACCAACTGGTCTCTGGTCTCATCTGTAAAACCGTGGGACACAACAATTTGTATGCATTTTATATTTCCATGTAGCTGGGGAGAAACTAACAATTGCTATATATTAAGTATAAAACACAATCAAACAGTAAAGTAACTGGTGCTTGTTTCATTTTTGGTAAAAGTAAATTATCCCATAAAAATTTTGTAAAATGAAAACTTAGCCATATCTTGTAGTTTGCACACCAAAAAGGCCTGGGAGTTCCAAGTTCAAATCTACAAACAGCCATGAAACTCATTGGGTGACTTTGGGCCACACATTCTTATCTTAGCCTACTTCACAGGGTTGTTGTGAACATAAAACGAGAGGAAAGCTGTAATGAACTCTATGAAGATGTACTGAAAACAATGTAAGTTGAATTTCAAAAAGTTGTAATAAATATATTTTATAGAATGAACACTTTTAAGACTAAAAAAGCACAAAAAGTGTGTGCACAACAGTTGTGTTTCCTTGTGTCATATTGGTGGCAGTGGGAGAATCATGGGGTTTCTGAAACAAGGACCTGTTGTATTGGGGTTGGAGAACCTCTTTCAGACTGAGGGCCAAATTCAGCTTCATGCAGACAAAGGTAGGGGACAGAGCCAAAAATACCAAGACAATACATAAAATAGCAATGAAACCACTTCATTGTCTGTCAGGCACATCCAGGCCAAAAAAAGGGCAGCGTGGAAACCACGCAGGGTTTGTCAGGATGTGTGAATCCAGCCTGGGTTTAAGTACAATTCAAAATGCTGGTTTTAACCCTTGCAGCCCTAAACTCTGTACCAATGTGATATTTCAAGAACCAGCCACCAAGGCTGGACATCCATTCCAGAAGCCATGTGGAAGATCGAGCCATTTCAGGTGTGAACCCCGAGAGAGCTGCTGACAGTGAAATATGTCTGACAAGGCGGTAGAGGTTCTCTGAGCCCCCTCTTCATAATTCATTTTCTGCTTCCCTGTCAAAAGTAGGGTACCTAATAACAAATTGCCTAAAAGCAGGAAATGCATCGTGTCTGCCCAGGTGTGGCTGTTATAAAAAGGGTAAACTCCATGTCAAGGCAAAACTACGAAGGGAACTGCAAATAAAATGGCCAGCACCCTTCTCCCCATTATAGAAATCTGTGAGTCAACCTCACTTCTATACTGTGTATAATTTTGGTTGCTGCATCTGAAAAGGATTATGTAGAACTGGGAAAAGGGCAATTAAATGAAGAGAAGGGTGGCATAACTCTCCTACCAGGAAAGGTTGCCACAGAAAGGACTGTGCAGCTTAGAGAAGAGGTAAGGGAGGGTAAATATGGCAGATGTACAGCATTATGCCATGGTGTGGAGAAGGTGGATAAGGAGACACGTTTCTCTCGCTCCCATAATGCTATAACCCAATGGTGAAGGACCGTGGGAGCTGCAGGTGAAACATCTGGAGGGAATTCAGGAACGATAAAAGGAAGCACTTCTTCCCACAGTGCATATTTGAACTATGGAACTCACTGCCACAGGAAGTAGTAATGGCCACAAACTTGGAGGGCCTCAAAATGGGGCTGGAGAAATTAATGGAGAAGGCTCTCTCTGGCCACTAATCCATCTGCCACCTCCAGCAGCATATTCAGTATGCCTATTTATTTATTTATTGTTTTCATTTAAAGTTTCTATAAACCATTAGACAGCAGAAGCTCTCAGAATGGTGTACAAGATAAATAATAAACTAAGATCATGGCATCCGATCCTCTCACTTCCTGGCAAATAGATGGGGGAAGAACTGGAGGTAGTAACAGATTTTATTTTCCTGGGCTCCAAGATCACCGCAGATGGGGACTGCAGCCAAGAAATTAAAAGATGCTTGCTCCTGGGGAGGAAAGCTATGGCAAATCTAGACAGCGTAGTAAAAAGCAGAGACTTCACCCTGCCAACAATACTGCGTATAGTCAAGGCTCTGGTTTTCCCAGTTGCAAGGTATGGCTGTGAAAGCTGGACCATAAGGAAGGCTGAGCACCAAAGCATTGAGGCCTTTGAATTGTGGTGCTGGAGGAGACTCCTGTGAGTCCCCTGGACCGCAAGGCGATCAAACCAGTCAGTCCTAGAGGAGATCAACCCTGACTGCTCTTTAGAAGGCCAGATCCTGAAGATGAAACTCAAATACTTTGGCCACCTAATGAGAAGGAAGGACTCCCTGGAGAAGAGCCTAATGCTGGGAATGATTGAGGGCAAAAGAAGGAGGGGACGGCAGAGGATGAGGTGGCTGGATGGAGTCCCTGAAGCAGTCGGTGTGAGCTTGGGTGGACTCCGGGGGATGGTGGAGGACAGGAAGGCCTGGAGGAATGTTGTCCATGGGGTTGTGATGGGTTGGATGCAACTTCGCAACTAGCAACAACAACAACAACAACATGTATCCCAGTTGCTGGGGGCCGTGGGTGGGAGGATGAGGTTGTTTTCACAGCCTGCTTGTGTGTTTCCCAGGAACAGCTAAGCTGCCAGCCATGTGACAAGAATGCCTGACCTGATGGACCTTTGCTTGAATCCAGCCTGGCGCTTCTTATGTTCTTAAAATGTCACAAGGCATACAGAACCACATAGTATGAGCAAAGAAGCAAACGGCCTGCTCTAACCCAGCCCTGTTTAGGGTTTTAGGGATCAGGCAGAAGGCCTGCCTCGTCCAGCAGCAACCTGGCTCCCTCCATGGTCAAGCGCAGCAAGGAGTGCTGGCCACAGAGCTCTCCACTGGTTGGTTCCCAGTCCCCAGCGTGGAGCAAGACACTGCCTCTGACCATGTTTTCCCCCAGTGAACTAGCCTGCCTTGTAACAGTGGATAAACTACCTCTGCACATTGGCCTAACTCCTCTTCAAGCTATCTGAACAATGGCTTTCATATGTTCAGTTGCATGCTTGGGCGGCCCATGGCCCTCCAGAAGAATCACCTCCAGCTCCCATGATCCCTCACCTCTGGTCATGCTGGCAAGGGTTGATGGCAGATGTAGGCCAGAAAGCCTGTTGCACGCCTCTCTTCTGTAAGAACAAAGTTTACTAATACTCAAGAAATTAACAGTATGCGATGTTGTTAGCCATTTTATTGGTGGTTTTCAACTTAACGAAGGCTGATCCCTATGGGAAGAGATTCCACACTGATATTGTTAGTCACACGGAAAAAGTCTTCTGTCTGGGAAACCAAACTGGGCCTCCTAAGCCCACACACCGTGTCCCTCAAAAGCAGCCAGAGAATTGCACCCCAAGTCAATGGAGGGGGACATGGGTTCTTCAGTAAAGTTAACCCAATCCCACAGCCACCTTAGCCTACAAGGTCAGACAAAGACCCTTTAACACTCCAGTCAGCTCCTCTGGGCGTGCTGAGGCTGAGCACACTACCGGCCTGGTCAGCCCACACAAGGCTAGCCTTTGCTTTCTGCTAAGACAACAGCCTTCTAGGCTCCTCGCAGGGAAGAGCGGCAGCGAGCAGGGCCGCTTGACGTTATTGACCATTCTGCCTTGATCTTGCCGCCAGCTATCCCTGCAGGTGACTGATCAGAGGCCCACAAATGCTTTTCAAGTGCTCTTCATGCCATTTCTATCCCATCCTTCATCTTATGGGCTCAGGGCAGCATACATGGTTCAGCCATAGCTCATTTTGTCCTCACAACAACCCTATGAAGTAGGCGAAACTGAGAGAGAGAGAGAGAGCGAGATAGACAGAGAGAGAGAGAGAGAGAGAGAGAGAGACAGACAGACAGACAGACAAGACCTGGGGTTCCTGACTACTGGCTCCCAGATGACATTGGGCTACAAATACCCACCATCCCCAGCCAGCACAGTCCATTTCCAATGCTATAAGGCATTGTAGTCCAAGAACATTGAGTGACCCAAGGTTGGGAACCACTGAACCTGACCAAAACAACTGAGTGAGCTTCAGGACTGAATGGGATCTTAACAGCTATTAACAATTCGTCAAGTCCAAGTCTCTAAGAAGCTTTAAATGACACACCATTTCAGAACAATAAAGGCCTCTGTTCTGGACATATTTGCTGATTCTCCCACATATATAATTTTTTTAAAGTGCAAAACTGGAAGCGAAGCTTTCCCGATAGTCAGAACATTCAAATGGCTTTTCCCTGGTGTGTGTTCCCTTGTGTGTAATAAGGGAGTCTTTCCGACAAAAGCATTTCCCACAGTCAGAGCATCTGTAGGGCTTCTCTCCCGAGTGGATCCTCTCGTGTCTCGCAAGCTGCTGCCTCCGGCTGAAGCTTTTCCCACAATCCCTGCACTGATGGGGCTTCTCTCCCATGTGGATCCTCTTATGAGTAGTAAGGTTTCCTTTCTGAGTGAAGCTTTTCCCACATTCTGAGCATTTGTGGGGTTTCTCACCTGTGTGGATTCTCTCGTGGATAATCAGGTGGGCGCTGTTGTTGCAGATCTTCCCGCAGTAGGTGCATTCAAACAGTTTCTGCATTTTCTGATTCTTGGGGATGACAGCGCTGGGACAGCAGTTTCTCTGACAGCGAGTAGCCACTTTTCCCTCTGTATATTTCAAAACACCCTCTTCTGAGGCACTCCGGTTTAAACCTTTGCCACATTTCTCATGGAGGAAGAGTGGTCGTTCTGATTCCTCTCTCTGTTTTGGGAGGTAAATGTCTGACCCCTGTGAGCTTTTAGACATCACATCCACTTCGGCCTCCTGGGAGGACATTGCTTTGGCTCTTGTTAAGACTAGCCCTCCGGTGGCACCCTTCTCAGGACTCCGAAAACCACAGCTCTCCTCTTTCCTCCAATTGTGCCCATCAGCTTCTGGAACAGAGAATTATGACATAAGTCATACCCTAAGCAGAATGGAAGGGATTTTCAAGAGACAATGCCCCAAACTGAAGTTAAAGGGACCATCTAAAGCAGAGCTGGGCAACCCTGGCGTACATCGCCTCCCAGATCCCACTGGGGGCACCAACCTTCCCCTGCACCACTGGGTTTCCTGCCAAAATTTAGCAGCATGGGGAGGGCAGTGGGAGTGGACAGCTCCCCTTTTCGAAGGATGAAGTGGCAGCTTGTAACCAAAATATGGCGGTGCCAGAATGGGTCTGTTTTGCTTTAGAAGAGCTCCTTTTTGCCGTTGCCTCCGCTCCATCACTGTATCCTCTATAAAAGGGCTATTTTGCAGCTTTTCTCCCTGCTGCCAGGTAACAGCAGCAGTGGCAGAGCAATGGAGGGCTCAGTAAAGACTGGGGGACACATATGACTCAAGGGCAGTGGGAACCCCGAGGGAGGGAGGGAGGGAGCGAGCTTGGCAAACAAGCATGTTGCGGACACCATTAAGACTTCTGGATTAATAAAGCAACTTTATTGGGAAAGTTTATCGGGTGTAAACTGCTCCACACCCCCCAGAGCTAGATCCAGGGACTCTCTGGAACTTTTCTCGACTCTTGTGGCATCTTCGAAGGCTGCTGCAGGGATGAAGTTTTACTAGCCAACACCCCGTGGTTCTGGTCTTTCAACGGGGCATTCCTGACACACCAAACTGTTTCTCCTGTCCCTGCGCCTAATTAAAACACACCTAGAAGAAAATTCTTGTAACCTGATCTGGGATAGTTTCTGGGATTGCTTCTGGCTCATACGATTCAGCAACACAGTGAGCATATGAAGAGGGCCATGTCTTCCAAAATCATGAGCTTCTTGGTTTTTTATCAGTTATTCAGGTCATCAAGGTGTGATGTTCCCAGTCAGTTGGATACACTGATGCATTTCCATCCACAGGCATTTTTCACAAAATGGCCCATTTTTGTAAAACGGTACAACTTTTCTTTCAAACCGTCTGATGGTGGGTAAGAGGATCCAATTACAAAGAGGTGACCAGATGAGAGCACCCATTCAGCTCTCATACTGGACATCTTCTAGTGGGGCTGGTGAAACTGGAAGGACAACGGATCCTGAGGAATGTAGGTTTCTGTGTCTGGTGGCCACATTGATTGCTTGTTTTTATTGGTAAAGGTAAAGGTTTTCCCTTGACGTGAAGTCCAGTCATGCCTGACTCTAGGGGGCGGCGCTCATCTCTGTTTCCTAGCCGAGGGAGCCAGCGTTTGTCCACAGACAGTCCCTGTGGTCATGTGGCCGGCATGACTAAACACCAAAGTGCATGGGACGCTGTTACCTGCCCACCGAAGGGGTACCTTTTTATCTACTTGCATTTGCATGCTTTCGAACTGCAAGGCTGGCAGGAGCTGGGACGGAGCAACGGGAACTCACCCCGTTGTGCAGGTTCGAACCGGTGACCTTTCGATCAACCAGCCCGGAAGCACAGCTGTTTAAACCACTGCGCCACCTGCAGTCCAACTTGTTTTTATACCCACCTATTATTTTATATCCCTCCCACCACAAGCAGCTCACAATCACAGATTAGAGCAAAGCTACAAATAGCACGTAATTTGTTTGCAAACAGAAAGGACAAAAAACGGAACCTTAAAAATGGAGCACAGCCAAGCCTCTGCTTAAACAGACAAGGATCAAAGTATTGGAATGCTGCCATGGGGCCTCCAGAAGTAAGGAATTTCACAGGATGAACAGCTTGCATCCTGGCCAACTGAGCCACCAGCGGGATGTGGGGTGAGTGGGGAGGGGCAGAATGCAGTATTTGAAATAACCTGGTCCCCAGGATGGCGTTTTGAGGAAGCAACCAGAAGTATTAACAAAACCAAAGTCTGAACAAATGTCAGAGTCAAAAATACGCTCAGCAAACAGGTTGTCTACAAAACAACATCAGCATCCAGGTGGCCTCGGGAAATGTGTCCCTAATGCAGGGGTGGGCATTCTATGTCCTGTGACCCTTCAGACATGTTGGCCTACAACTCCCATGAGCTCTAGTCATCATTACTAATTGGAGGGGGAGGCGTTACGAGAATGGTGGGCAGCAGGTTGAAGTTCTCAGGGCAAGGCAGAACACAGAAGAGGAACCAGAAGAGAAGGCTGCTACAGGGACTGAGTGCTTCAGGGAGACCCTGGAAGGAGGGGTCAGGTCTCTTTGCTGGATTCGTCTACGGCCTTCCAAACGTGCTGCTCCCTTGGGGCTTAGTCAGCCACCTGGAGTCCCCCCGCCACCCTTGTCATATTCAGGGCTGAATATCACCTTGACCTGCGCAGAGATAGCTTGTGCATAGCCCTTTGGTTTCCCCAGGCTGCCAGCCCAATCATCTGACTGCTGCTTGCTTGTGGGTTCGCAACTGATGTGCAGGTTTGCAAAAGATCAACGACCCTCTCCTAAGATGGGCAGCGAGAGCCTAAATGAAAATATGCAGGTATCCTTCTGCCTTGGGCCCTCGGGCTCAAAAAGGTTCAACACTGTGGGTGTAGCTGGTCCAGCATCCTGGTCCCCATAACGGCCAATCAGATAATGCCTCCATGAGGCCCACTGCCAAGAAACAAGGCCAATTGCTGTTGGTATTAGATCATTTTACTGGGAAGCGGGATCAACACTTGGGAAAGAAATACATTTGTCTTCTCCCTGTCAGAAACAGCCATGGAGGGAGAGGCTGCCCTTGAGAGAAGTAGCATGTAGAGCAGCCAGGGTTTCCCTCTCCACAGGTGTGCTCTCCTTTCTGGCGGAGATTGAAGTTTTCCAGAAAATTAGGTGAATTTGCACAGGGTCCTGTGCATTGCAAAAGTATCAGTGTGCATGGGAAATTTTTCTGCTGCCCTAGAAAGAGATCTAATGTAGCATGTTTATTTTATTTGTATTCTGTAAACAATGGTAAAAAGTACCCCAAGTTAATGTTTTGTCCCAGTGTTTTACCTGAAATATCTGTAGGGACACAAAATTATTGCATGCTTAAAGTACAACCTGGCTGGGGAATGCTGGGAGTTATAGTAGTTTTTCCTTTCTAAAGATGACCCTGAAGGGAGCAGTTCTATGGACTCCTAAACATTTTGAGGAGCCAAAGGATATTTCAGATTCTCAGATTCCAGGTTCAAGAGCGCCCCAACTCAGAAAGAGTTGCCCCACAGCAAAGATGGGAAGAACCACACTTGAGGCCTCTCCAGGGTCAGGAACAGAAAGTGAGAAAGGGGGCATTTCGGTGTTTGCATTTTTGACATTTGTATGCGATTTCCTGTAATGTATACATCTTTGTATGCAATTTTCCTGAATGTATGTATTTGTTGATAAAAGAACTCCACTCCAGGATTCAGAGAAATATGCAAACAAAAAGATAATTACAGTTCCAGTTTGCATATTAATGTAGGGAGTCTCAATCACATTGCTTCATATTAAGATGAAAACCCAACATTTCCCCCCACCTTCTCCATGGGGCCCTGAAGTTTGAGGATACCCTGTCATGACACCTTTTTGGCACTAGGCAAAAACTTTTCATTTCTCCCGGGCTTTTTGAGGTTTCCTGGTTTGTAACATTTTAGGCTGTGTACACTAATCTTCTAGTTAGTCCAGTCGGATTGCCCTGTGGTGTTGTATTAACTGATAGAAATATGGTTTTGTGCTGCTGTTTAATTGCTAATATTAGCATTCATATGTATACACAGAAAGAGAGTTATTTTTTAATGTTTAATTGCCATGTCTGCTCTAGAGCAATTCATAAATATAAAAAACATAAAATAAGAACCCAAAATAGTAGAAGCATGGCCTCTGTCCAAATGAATCTGAAGGCAGAATAGGACATTTGTCTGGCACATGTGGTGCAGCAGTACATGCTAGTTTTCTTGAATTTTCTTGATCCAATTTGGATCACTGCTCCAGCAGGTCGTGGTTAAACTTGGCATCCACTCTGTGTGTGTGTTGTGAAATTCCACCATCCCATGATGGAGGGGAGTGGTTAAAACAAGCAAAGAACCTCCTCATACTCTTATGGAACAGATCTTTTAAAATTTCCGCACAGGGGAGAGGGTTGAATTTCATGGGGGGAAAACATGGCCAGATCGGGGTCACGTGTGTTTACACAGAGATATAAAAATGAGTGTGTTCTACTCCATGGCACATGCTAAACATAACGTTTCATTTGGCCATCAGGGTGTTCAATCTTCCAACTGCAAGAACCCTCCACCGTGACCTCTCCCCTCTGTTTGCTTCATCTGCTGTATACCCACAGATCAATTCTTCCCCAAAAAGTGCTTTCTCCATGCCAATAGTGTGATGCAGTACACAGCATGATTATTCCTGGCCTGGGAATCTGCTGACAGGCAGGACATAAGTGCAATATATACAATTAGACAGAACAGTATTGAAACCTTACCCAGCAGGCTGCCCTGCCCATCATCCACGGGGACTGGCAACCCTACAGTGTTGGAAACATCCTGCTCCAATCTGGGGGAATTAACAGCTGCCTCTTCCAATGGCCCTAGGACCTGAAGGGAGAAATTAAAATGGCTGCTGACTGTGAATTACATATTATTCTTCATTGGATTTTGATGCCGTCCTGCCTTTCAGGGAACTAAGACTCCACCAAAGAGAACAACATATAAACACCATGAAATTCAGTGACAGGAGAAGGGTGTTTCCCAAATTCCCTGCAGTGTAGGGGTGTGTGTGTGCATGTGTGTGGAACCCAGTTATTTATTTATTTGTTAAATTTATGAGGGTTCTTCAAAAAGTTTCTGCACTTTTTAAAACTCTATTTATTAAGAATTTCAAAAACAATTACATCACTTTTCTACCGTCACCTTCCTTTGTGATGCATTTTTTCCAGCGTTGTACCAATTTTTTAAAGCCATCAGCAAAAAATATATAAAATATATTTATAAAAGAAAAAAGTGCGGAAACTTTTTGAAGACCCCTCATATATGCTGCTCCATAGCCCAGAGGGCTCCCTGCATGGCTTACAATTAAAACAGCAACAGCAACAAAAAAAGCAAGAGGAAAAGAATAAAATCCATTAAAACAATAGAACATGTGGCACTCAAGGTGAAGAAGGTCACATGCAGCAATTGAAAAAACTGGGTAACGATCACTTCAGCTTCTAAAACACCTGTTTAAAAAGAGTCTGTCTGTCTGTCTGTCTGTCTCTCTTTCTTTGGGTATTCCTACAACAATCATTCAATAAATATAACATAATTATCATAATAATAACCCAAACATAATAATTATACTAATAACCCACAATTATACTAATAACGCAACAACCCACAATTATAAAACATAATTAAAATTTAAACTTTAAAATACTGGGTGAATAAAAAGGTCTCGACCTGGTGCCAGAAAGCATATAATGTCGGCACCAGGCGGACCTCTCTGGGGAGCGCATTCCATAGCCGGGGTGCCACCGCAAAGAAAGCCCTCCTCTGGGTATTCTGTCTCCTAATCTCCTTCAAGGAGGGTTCCTGGAGCAGGGCCTCTGCTGCAGATCTTAAGGGGCAGGAGGGCATATAGGGGAAAAGACATTCCTTCAGGTATCCTGGTCCCAAGCCATTGAGGGCTCCACAGGTCAATACCAGCACCTTAAATTGGGCCCAGACTTCAACAGGAAGCCAGTGGAGTTGACAGAGGACCAGTGTTATAAGTGAATAACTTGGCACTGGAAAGAGAGCGGCAACAGCGCAAGGCACACCTCCTTGGGCGGCATGTTCCAAAAGTTGGGCACAACAACAGAGAAGGCCCTTCTCCTAACCATTTTCCCCCTCGCTTTGTGGTGGTGATTCTCAGAGAAGGACCTCTGTCAAAGATCGTAGTGATCAGGTAAGTGGTTAGATGGCCATCAACCCTTTTGCCCATCTTAGCCTGTGTCAGGAGATTCTCAGACCTGCCAGGACAGGCTTAGGTTTTAAAAATAAGGGCCTAGGCTGGCACCCTCTATTTTAAGCCCACAGTAGCATATAACCAAGCAGAAGTCTCGGGAATTCCTAGAGATTCATGTGGAAGAAAGCACATACAGCTCTAGAGAGAGAGTTGAAATTGATTTACATAAGGAGAAGAATACAAAGCTACACAAGAATCAGACAAACTTTTGGAACAAGGCTCCAGCAAAACTAACAAAGCAATGCCACCCTGTCCAATATGCCACTCAAATATGGATCTTCTAGCAGGACAGGGCCTACTCCAGGACCCAAAAGGACACAAGCCTGAACAGAAGTTATTATACTACAAGACCTGACTTTTATGTTGAGACTCATGGCAAGACCTTTTTATTTAAACATCATTTTAATTGTTAGCTTTATTTATTGATTTTATATCTTCGGCCAGGACGTCTCCAATTATATTGTTTTGATACGTTTAATATGTATTTATTTATTGTTGTAAGCCGCCCCAAGGCTTTGGCGAATGGGGCGGCATAGAAGCTTACTTACTAAATAAATAAATAAATAAATAAACAAACTCAGAGAAAGTTTCAAGGAGCCAAAGACAAATGAACAACTGCAGCACCCCTAAACCCGGTACAGGGGGACTGCGTTTCCCACAGGGAAACCAACGGCAGCATCTGGAGTCCTTCTGCTTCAATGGGCTTTTAGACTGATTTGATTTACCAATCTGTTCTCCAAACACTTGTCAATTTTGACTGGTCTTCCTCAAACCGGTGCCCTCAAAGTGTTTCTGAAAGCAACTCCTGTCACTCCCATGCTGGCTATGGCTGCTAGGAGTTGTAATCCAAATATCTGGGGAATACCACGTTGGAGAAGGCTCTTCCAGGCCACGCCAATGGATCAGATTTATTCATTATATTATATTATTACTTTATATGCCACCTTTTTTCCTCACAAAGGGACCCATGACCCTCCTCATCTTATCATCTCAACAACCCCAAAAGGTCAGCTGGGCTAAGAACGAGTGACGGGCTCAGAGCCACCCAGCACATTTCATGGTTAAGTGGGAACTAGAGCCAGGCCTTCCTGAGTCGCAGTCCAGTGCACCACATGGGCTTTCGTGATGCACCAAGCCGCCCAGAACATTCCCCACACATCCAAGATTTCAGGTGCGTGGGAGCGCGCTGAGCATCTTGCTGGAACAGAGTGAAGGAGCAGAGAGGACAGCTGTTCCGCTGCACTGACGTCACTAACCTTTTGCTCTGCGCTCCTGAGCTCTTGCACCTGCATCAAGAAACCCTCTGCCTGAGTCACTGCTTGGGCACAAGTCTCCGGGCCACGTGCCCTGACCCAGTTCCGCATCTCCAGGGGCAGGATGGCCAAGAACTGCTCCAGGACCACCAGCTCCAGCATCTGCACTTTGGTGCTTCTCTCGGGCACCAGCCACTGGCAGCAAAGCGCCCAAAGGTGCTTGAAGGCTTCTCGGGGCCCCTTGGCCTCCTGGTAGCAGAAGTGGCGGAAGCGCCGGCAACGCACCTCCACACCGGCACTGCCTTCCTCATCTGGGATCTCTTCCTTCACTTTCACAGAAGGCTCTCGGGTGCCTCCACCTAAGGCCTGGGCCACACGCTCTCCAGCAGACTCCTGGCGGGCCTCAACTGCAGCCTTGGAGGACGCTGGAAGGGCCGCAGCACCCTCCTGTGGCCGGCGCCGAGGCAGCTGGGGGTCCTCCCCTCCTGACTGAGGCGGCTGCATCTTCCGCAGGAGCTGCTGCCACTGAGCTTCCCAAGGGTCGTGCAATGCCTCCTCCGGCTCCTTCTTAACCCGCTGCAGGGCTGCTCCAGTCAGAAGCTCCTCGAGGGTCCCAACTTGGACGACACAAGGGCTCCCTCTTCCTCCCGTCTCCGGTCCTGCTTTGGCTGGGCGCAGCTCCTCCATTTTTGCTCCCTGCTGGGCTGCCCGACCTGTGAAGGATATTCTGCCGTAATTAAGAGAAAAAGAGGCACATGCTGGTCTTGGTCTGGGGAAGGAATTCCATTTTGGAAACGCTCCCGAGAGCTGCTTTCCCACGCTGGCTGGAGCTGAAGGCAAAAGGGAAAGGGTCAAAATACCAAAGTTAGCAACATATTTTGGCTTAAAGCATTTATTGTTCGCATAAGCTCTAGAAAAGGCATGTCAACTTTTTGAGTATGGAGCAGGAGGAAACCACACAGGGCCAGGAATCCACCAGGAAACGCTGAGGGAAAGAAGGACTATCTAGGCAACTCCAAGGACAGGTTCCAGGGCTTGTGATTCTGTACCTCTGGGCTGGACAAAGAGTAAGGATCCCATTAGGCAGCCTGGTCAATTACTCCACAAAAGATTCTAGTCTGTAAATTATTTTATTGCCCTGTCCAGAATCTTGTACTTTGTCTTTTCATACTGACTGCAGAGGAGGGGAAACCCCCTCCACCCCAACAAGCACAGAACTGCATCTGTCACATTTTTAATTACATTTTTATACTTCCCCATGCCCCAGTTGGCTCACATTATAGAATAAAAATGGACTCCATACTGTCTGTTTTGTTCATGATTTACTTAAACAGGCACTGTATGAAAATGTCAAAAGAACAAAGTTGTTCTTTCGCAGTAACTGGTGCTCTCAGGTATACTGCCTCCAACCATGGAGGTTCTGCTTAGTGCATGTAGCTACTAATATGCCTGCTTTTTTCCCTCCTCCTCGATTTTGCCCTATTGTCCTTAATTTAGTTGCATCCAGTGGCAGAAAATTTTGTGAATTCATTATGATTGGATGGGTGGGTGGGTGGGGAGGTAGTCCCAAATCTACAGTCCATTTTAATCACTGGTGAGAAGCAAGGTGCAGAAAAACGTTTTAATGATGTAATTCTACGCATGCTTAAACAGAAAAAAAATCCGCAACAGTTCAAGTCCTACAACATTCCGAATACGAGGAATTCTAGGGCCTTTTCTGTATCAACACACGTGGGATTATGCTTGCAGTGTCACCGCGAAAAATGTCAACACTTTATGATGTCCACCAACAGCGGCTTGGCTACCGTCTCTCCTTGTGCCACGAGTTGCCACTTTTCCACTCGGGATACAAAAGGAATTTTGCTGCACGCTTGCAACCTGGGGCTGTTCGCACGTGCTACGAGTCGACCTCCCACCCTGTCCTCGCTTATTCTGTCACAGCTGCAAAGTGGCGGCTCGGGGGAGGCTGGTCTGGAGAGCGAGTTTCGGGATCTGTGTTTGGGGAGCCCCTCCCCTCCTCCGGGTCCCCAGGGGGTGGCACCTCCCTTTGATCTCTCCTCCCGTTGGGTAAAAGCACATGCAGAGAGAGCAAATTAAAACCCCGGCAATTCACCCACGTCTTTGCAATGCCCGTCGGTAGCTGCATACGCAGCAGCGCCTCCCGGAAACCCGCAAGTGGAGACCATGCAAAGGTTACTTCTTTTGGGTCCAAGCAAGGAGACCAGGCAGGGACAGGAAAAGGAAGCCGGGGCTAATTAAAATCAAGCAATCAATCAGGGCCTCTCTAGGACTCACAGCTCGGTCTGCTTAACCTCTTCCGCTCTTCACGAAGGTCGAGTCAAAACAAAACCAAAAACAAGAGCAACTTAGTGCCGGCCAGATGTTTTGGGCTCCAGCTCCCATTATCCTTGATGACTGGCCAAGTTGAGTGGGGTTCATGGGAGTTGTCAGCCGAAAAGATCTGGAGGGCATCAGGAAGGTAACTAATGAGGGGCAACCGAAACATTCACTTATTTTATCTACCCCATAGAAACAGCAGTATCGGATCAGGCTGGGACAGGAGTGCGACAACGCCCCCCATGTTCCCCAGCGACTAGCATGCTCAGTCATGCTCCTTGAAGGTAATGTGCAGCCATCAGAACTAGTAAGCCACAGACAGCATCTAAATTTCTCCAATTGCCTCTTAAAGCTCTCCAAATTGGGGGCCATCTTGTGGAATTGAATCTCGTGGTTTAAATCTGTGCTGTTTGAGGAAGGCCTCCCTTTTATGTGCTCTGACCACCATTCAAGCCTATCCCCAAGTCCCTCTTTTGCTCTTATGTGCTGATTGCCTCCAACTTCGGGCGAGCCTGTGAATGAGAGCCCTCCAAAACGCCCCGTCCTTCACAGCCCTGCTCAGCTCTTGTAAATTCAAGCCTGTGGCTTCCTTGATGGAGTCCATCCATCTCCCACTTGGCCTTCCTTTTCCTCTTCTACCTGTGAGGTTCCCCAGCATGATTGTCTTCTCCAGGGAGTCTCACCTGCTCACGATGCACTTGAAGTACCACAGCCAGTTCTGTCATTTTTGCTTGCAGGGAAAGTTCTCATCCCACTATCTCCCTTGTGACCTTTTTCTAGACTGTAAGCTCCTCACCTCCTTGTCATATCCTTTGTAAAGTGGCATGTACCTGAGTGATGCCGTATTGCTATAAATTAAAATGTTTGGAAAATGTTACGTTAAAAAAGCAAAGACTTTTTTCCCTCTGGCCTTTACATTCAGTCTGATCTGTTTGCTTGTTTAAATGTATATTTATTTATATCTTGCCTTTTCTCCTCTTGAGGGGAACCCAAACAGCTTACATAGCTCCATTTTATCCTCACAACAACAGCCCCATGAGGTAGGTTGGACTGGGGGCGGGGGGGGGGAGTCTGTGACTGGCCCAAAGTCACCACTGAGCTTCATGGCTGAGTGGGGACTAGGATCCAAATCTCCTGGGTTCCTGGTATAGCACTCTAACCACCAACACCGGCTCTTATTAAAGCTTGGTTTATTTTTTTTATTCTTCCTACTTCATCACCAATTTGCTCTGTTTTAAAGAAAAAAATGTATGCCACTCTAAAAATGTTATTGAAGGCTAGGGCACAAAACCCTCATGAGTATTAAAAATATTATTCCCCAAATGAACTTCAGAAGTAATAATACTACTATCTGTATAGACCTTTTCTGTTAAACCGTCTGACTTATAAAACTCTTTACATGGTAAGTTGGTATTATTCACCATAGAGCAAATCAGAAGACTGAGGAAGAGTGCTTTGTGTAAGCCGAGGGAGAGCAGATGTCAGACTTGTGCTGTCTCTTTTGTTTTAATGGAAGCCCATGGTCCACCGCAATTCGCTGTTTCCCAGAGCTGATGCAAGCGGCAGTCCAAAACTTTTAGAGTCCTCCCGGTTGGGGAAGGCTGCTCTAGGAATTCATGAACAGGGTGCCTCTGAGCATGGACGCAGCTCACAGATTCACTCTCAGCACCACAAGTGAGTTGACCATCCAGTCTGCCGAACATCTTGATTTTCCCTCCCAGCTTTCTTCCGAATTAGCAGCTGGCACAGCTGGGAGGCAGGAAAAGAAGACTCGCATCATGGCTTCTTCAGTCCCTTTAGTCCCTGCTCAGTCATGGATCTCACTGGGTAACTTTGGGCCAGTCACTGACTTTCAGCCTCCCCTACCTCACAGGGATGTGGTGAGCATAGCGAGGAAGAGGATTATGCAAGCTGCCTTGGCTTCATTGCAGAAAAAAGGTAGGATATAAATAAAACTGAAAATAAATGAAAGAACAGTAGTTTTGCCCAAAACCACAAGTCACAGCAGGGGTGGGGTATGAGCCCTAAAGACAAACCTGCTGTGAAGTCCCAATATCCTTTGAAGAGGATGTACCTGAACAATCCAGCACAACTGGTGCAGTTTATCTTTAGTATTATGTATTCTTAGACTTAGGAATCAGTGAACTGAAATGGACAGGAAAGGGTGAATTTAATTTAGATGACCATCAGGTATACTACTGTGGGCAAGAATCCCTCAGAAGAAATGGAGCAGCCTTCATAGTCAATGAACGAGTAGGAAAAGCAGTACTGGGATACAATCTCCAAAATGACAGAATGATTTCAGTTTGAATCCATTCAACATCAGTTCGAATCCAGTTTGAATCCATTCAACATAGCAGTAGTCCAAGTCTATGCCCCATCCACTGGTGCTGAAGAGGCTGAAGTTGACCAGTTCTATGAAGACCTACAACACCTTCTAGAGTTAACACCCAAAAATGATGTCCTTATCATGGGGGATTGGAATGCGAAAGTAGGAAGCCAAAAGATAACCGGAATAACAGGCGAGTTTGGCCTTGGAGTACAAAATGAAGCAGGGCACAGGCTGGTAGAATTTTGTCAAGAGAATATGTTGGTCATAGCAAACACTTTTTTCCAACAACCCAAGAGACGACTCTATACATGGACATCACCAGACGGTCAACACAGAAATCAGATTGACTATGTGCTCTCCAGCCAAAGATGGAGAAGCTCTATACAGTCAGTAAAAACTAGACCAGGAACTGACTGTGGCTCAGATCATGAGCTTCTTGTTGCAAAATTTAGGGTTAAATTGAAGAAAGTAGAGAAAAGCACTAGGCCACTCAGGTATGACCTAAATCATATCCCTGATGAATATACAGTAGAGGTGACAAATAGATTTAAGGAATTAGACCTGATAGAGTGCCTGAAGAACTATGGATGGAGGTTTGCAACATTGTACAAGACGTAGCAACTAAAACCATCCCAAAGAAAAAGAAATGCAAGAAAGCCATATGGCTGTCTGAGGCAGCTTTACAAATAGCGGAGGAAAGAAGGGAAGCGAAAGGCAAGGGAGAAAGAGAAAGATACACCCAATTGAATGCAGAATTCCAGAGAATAACTAGAAGAGATAAGAATGCCTTCTTAAATGAACAGTGCAAAGAAATAGAAGAAAACAACAGAATAGGGAGGACCAGAGATCTCTTCAAGAAAATTGGAGATATGAAGGGAACAGTTCATGCAGAGATGGGCATGATAAAGGCCCAAAATGGCAGGGACCTAACAAAGGCAGAAGAGATTAAGAAGAGGTGGCAACATTACACAGAGGAACTATACAAGAAAGAGCTTAACGTTCCTGATAACCACAACGGGGTGGTTACTGACCTCGAGCCAGACATCCTGGAATGTGAAGTCAAATGGGCCTTAGGAAGTCTGAGCAACAACAAAGCTAGTGGAGGTGACAGTATTCCAGCTGAGCTATTCAAAATCTTAAAAGACGATGCAATAAAAGTGCTACACTCAATATGCCAGCAAATTTGGAAAACTCAACAGTGGCCACAGGATTGGAAAAGGTCAATTTACATTCCAATCCCAAAGAAGGGCAATGCCAAAGAATGTTCAAACTACCGCACCATTGCACTCATTTCACATGCTAGCAAAGTTATGCTCAAAATCCTATAAGCTAGGCTCCAGCAGTGTGTGGACCAAGAACTACCAGAGGTATAGGCAGGATTTCGAAGAGGGAGAGGAACTAGAGATCAAATTGCCAACATATGCTGGATCATGGAGAAAGCTAGGGAGTTCCAGAAAAACATCTACTTCTGCTTCATTGACTATGCTAAAGCCTTTGATTGTGTGGATCACAACCAATTGTAGCAAGTCCTTAAAGAGATGGGAGTACCAGACCATCTTATTTGTCTCTTGAGAAACCTCTATGCGGGTCAAGAGCCAACAGCAAGAACTGGGCACGAAACCACTGATTGGTTCAAAATTGAGAAAGGAGTTCGGCAAGGCTGTATACTGTTGCCCTGCCTATTTAACTTATATGCAGAACACATCATGAGAAAGGCGGGGCTAGATGAATCACCAGTTGGAATTAAGATTGCTGGGAGAAATATCAACAACCTCAGATATGCAGATAATACCACTATAATGGCAGAAAGTGAAGCGGAACTAAAGAGCCTCTTGATGAGGGTGAAGGAGGAGAGTGCAAAAGTTGGCTTGAAACTCAACATTAAGAAAATTAAGATCATGGCATCCGGTCCCCTCACTTCCTGGCAAATAGAAGGGGGAGAAATAGAGGTAGTGACAGATTTTATTTTCTTGGGCTCCAAGATCACCGCAGATGGGGACTGCAGCCAAGAAATTAAAAGATGCTTGCTTCTTGGGAGGAAAGCTATGGCAAATCTAGACAGCATACTAAAAAGCAGAGACATCACCTGCCAACAAAGGTGCGTATTGTCAAGGCTATGGTTTTCCCAGTTGCAATGTATGGCTGTGAAAGTTGGACCATAAGGAACTGAAGAACTGAGGCCTTTGAACTGTGGTGCTGGCAGAGACTCCTGCGAGTCCCTTGGACAGCAAGGAGAACAAACCGGTCATTCCTAGAGGAGATCAACCCTGACTGCTCTTTAGAAGGCCAGATAGTGAAGATGAAACTCAAATACTTCAGCCACCTAATGAGAAGGAAGGACTCCCTGGAGAAGAGCCTAATGCTGGGAACAATTGAGGGCAAAAGAAGGAGGGGACGGCAGAGGATGAGGTAGCTGGATGGAGTCGCTGAAGCAGTCGGTGTGAGCTTGGGTGGACTCCGGGGGATGGTGGAGGACAGGAAGGCCTGGAGGAATGTTGTCCATGGGGTCGTGATGGGTTGGACACGACTTCGCGGCTAACAACAACA